CTAATTACACCACAAGCTCAAATAGGAAATCCCAGTTGTCCAGGAATTCTAGAAGTCAACATGGACTGGCCAGAGGGTAAAGGTTTTGGAATGTCACCAGAGGAGGCCCCACCTCTTCAGAAAGTGAAAAGCAATATATGCCCTGTTCACTTGGTCCTGCCATATTGTGGGAAAACATCGGAGATGGAAGGCAGCTGTGTGAAGTCCTCAACAACAAGTTGCAGAAGCTGCTGAAGGAGAGGGTGAATTGAGTCAGTTTGCCGAGGTGAAAGCCGTTCAACTGACCTTGGACATTGCTGAACAAGAAAAGTGGCCAGTACTTTATACTGACTCATGAATGGTGGCAAATGCCCTGTGGGTGTGGTTGCAGCAATGGAAGCAGAGCAACTGGCAACGCAGAGGTAAACCCATCTGGGCTGCTGCACTGTGGCAAGATATCGCTGCCCGGGTGCAGAACTTGGTGGTGAAGGTACTCCATGTAGATGCTCACGTACCCAAGAGTCGGGCCACTGAGGGAAAAACAACCAACAAGTGGATAAAGCTGCTAAGACTAAAGTGACTCAGATGGACTTAGATTGGCAACATAAGGGTGAATTATTTTTGGCCTGGTGGGTCCATGGCACTTCAGGCCATCAGGGCAGAGATGCAACATACAGATGGGCTCGTGATTGAGGGGTGGACTTAACAATGGACACTATTGCCCAGGTTATTCACAACTGTGAAATGTGTGCTGCAATTAAGCAAACCAAGCGACTAAAGCTTCTTTGATATGAAGGACTATGGCTGAAGTACAAATATGGGGAGGCCTGGCAGACTGATTATATCACACTGCCACCAACCTGCCAAGGCAAGCGCCATGTGCTTACCATGGTGGAAGCAACCACCGGATGGCTGGAAACATACGCTGTGCCCCATGCCACTGCCTGAAACACTATCTTGGGCCTTAAGAAACAGATTTTGAGGTGACACGGCACCCCAGAGAGAATTGAGTCAGACAATGGGACTCATTTCCAGAATAACTTATAGACATTTGGGCCAAAGAGCATGGCATTGAGTGGGTATATCACACCCCCTACCATGCACCAGCCTCTGGGAAAATCAAACAGTACAATGGGCTGTTAAAAACTACACTGAGAACAATGGGTAGTGGGACTTTCAAACACTGGGATACACATTTAACAAAAGCCACCTGGTTGGTCAACACCAGAGGATCTGCCAACAGGGCTGGCTCAGCCCAGTCAGAATTTTACATACCGTAGAGGGGGACAAAGTTTGTGTAGTGCATATAAAGAATTTGCTGGGGAAGACATTCTGGGTTATTCCTGCTTCAGGTAAAGGCAAGCTCACCTGTGGGATTGCTTTTGCTCAGGGACCCAGATATACTTGGTGGGTAACTCAGGAAGATGGGGAAGTCCAATATGTACCTCAAGGGGTTAGATTTTAGGGGAAAACAGCCAATGAAGCCGATTATATGCTATTGTCTGCTATGTAGTACTCTTATAGCCCACGAACTAGATGTCTTCAGGTCACCGGCAACTGGCCTCGATTTCCCTGATCATCCTCCCAACGAAGAATGGACTTTGACTAAAGCATACGAGCTCAGCACTGACCAGACAGGCTCCACAGTGTCATCAGCAGGCAACAATACAACACTACATACCGTCTCTCCTGCTCTGAAAGACTGTTATAGGGATTGGTCTATAGACTAAGGAATGACCTCTCTCTCTCTCTTTGTGTGCATGTTGATGTGTATATATATACATATATGAGACAAAAGCAATGGTACATTGAAAAATGTGGGATCTGAGCATGATGTGAATGGTATGGAATAAGGGGTGAACACTGTCCTGTGTTCAGCAGTAGCAGTCATTTTTCTCCTTCTTAATAGCTGGTGCAGTGCTGGGGTTTTGACTTTCAGCCTGGGAACAGGACTGATAACACCAATGTTTTTAAGTTGCTGCTCTGTAATGTTTAGTCTGACCAAGGACTTTCTGAGCCTCATGCTCTGCCAGGGAGGAGGGGAAGCTGGGAGGAAGCAGAGACAGGGCACCTGACCCAAACTAGGCAAAGGGGTATTCCATACCACAGCACATTATGCCCAGTACACAAACTGGGGGCAGTTACCCAGAGGGCCCACATCACTGCTCGGGTCGGACTGGCTATCTGTCAGCAGGTGGTGAGCAGTTGTATTCTCTTCCCTTGTTATTTCCCTTATCATTATTATTATTTGTGGTAGCAGTAATGATTTTGTGTTACAACTTAGTTACGGGGCTGTTCTCAACCGGTTGGATTTATACTCTTTTGATTCTCCTCCCCATCCTTCCAGGAGCTTAGGGAGGAAGAAGGGTGGGGGGAGTGAGTGAGCAGCTGCATGGTTCTGAGTTACCTACTGGGCTTAAGCAACAACAGTTATTCTTTAGATTTGGATGCAATTTACTGCACTAGAGTAGTGAAGAACCAGACAGCTTGTACTGAATAGAAGTATTTGTATAGCTGCAGTAGCTACTTCACACTGACTTATATATTCTGTATTTCTGAAAATGTAGGTCTTGGAGGAAAAGAGGAACTCCACTGCCAACTTGATATCTCAGGGAGAATGCAGCAAACCTTGCCTTCTAAGGGCTGTCAAATCAGTTGAAAATTTATGGGAAAGAATCAGAAGACAAACCAATGCAGATGATGTTGTAGGTCCTTCGTCAGAGTAAACAGTACTTAGCAACAGCTAAAAACATCAGTGTTATCAGCATTGTTCCCAGGCTGAAAGTTGAAACCACAGCATTGCACCAGCTACCAAGAAGGAGAAAAATGACTGCTACTGCTGAACCCAGGACAGTATCTACCAGAGACTGTTTGATCAGGAAGATGAAGTCCACAAAGTCTTCTTTAGGCAACTGGAGGAGAAAGCCTCATGGTTGCTGGCCCCTGCACCCAGGGAATCACCTGAGACCTGCTGGAAAGGCAATATTGTTTGGTACAATATTGCAAAATGAGTGATTTAGGGTCTCTTAAAGAATGACCAGCAAAGGTATAAGGAACAGCAGTTTTAATATGATTTATAAAGGCATGACTTAACAGAATTTGATGGCAGGTTCACTCTATTACTTATTACATAGATGAAGTATACAAAGGAAAATCAAGGTAAAATCAAGCTAAAGGTGATTGATACAGACACTGAAGGCAGGAAGGGCAAGGGGGACCCTCCCACTGAGTCATGAGATTCAGTTTGGACACCTTTGCTTTCTAAACTCTAGATGGAGTCCACGTGTGGCTGGATCTAGTCTTAGTCTTAGACTTGGTCGATGGTGTTCATCTAAGGGTTTGCAAATATCAGTTAACAGCAGTTTGCAGTTTTAAAGTGGATCTTATAAATTGAGTCAATAGAATTTAATACAATTCCTATAACAATATGTACACACACCCATACATAAAGACACATAAAAGTATACCTGTTAAAAATTCCAGTTGAATCAGTGCAATATTCACATCTAATGTCTCAGTATGTCTCAATGGGTGAGGGTCAAGGAGTGGATGACTTCAGCTCAGATTCCATCTTTCAGCAACAGCCTGACAGTTCTCCAGTTATCACAAACTTGAGAGTTTGTGAACTTTGAGAGGTGTCCCTCAGTCAAAGCATGCTTTACCACCCAATTCATTACATAAAGGACAGGGCCTGTTGGAAACTCATGAGATAGTGGAACAGCCCAGAGGATTGAAAGGAGGAGGGAGGGGAGTGGTAGGGATAAAATTACACCACCACACACAAGCAACCAAGGACATTTCTGCAGTGTTGACAAAGTGACTCAATGCAGGTGATCAAGAATCAAGCTAGAGAAGATCTGCTGCTTCTGATAACACACAAGGAGGAACTGATTGGAAATGTAAAGATCAAGGATCTCAGCTGCAATGACCGTGACACTGTGGACTTCAGTATCTTCTTTGAATTGTATTTTCAGAGTGGATTGCTTCAATAAAAAGATTAAAATCTCTTAAAACATTACAGACATCAAGGTAACAGGTATCTGCCATTCTTAACACAGATAAACCTTTGAGCAAGATGAGAGACTTCATTACTGTGTTTCTTAGATTTTTGCTGGTGGCAGAACAAAAAATACAAGTTAGGAATTCAGATTCTGTTCCAAACTCACTATTCACCTCTGAATTTTAGTTCTCCAAATAAGAAATTCAGAATGTGTTAGGCACATGAAATAGACTAAATTAGACTAAATAAAAAGAAGTTACCAAATTTATGGGCATCAGAAAATAGATCACTGAAATAAGAAGTCTTAGACAAAAAATAATTAAAAATGCTACCACCTTTATTTGTAATACCACACCTTGCTCATATCTCATTACAACATTTAAATCGCCTCCCCGCTCAGAGGATAAAGAATGTTTTAGGGTTTCAAGCTTAGTCCATCTAAACCACTGAAACCATTTAAATGAATGCAAATGGACATTCAGCAAGAACAAAAGATGTCTAGTACAACACTTGTTAGAAAAGAGCTGCTAAGAGTCCAGTACTAATAAGACTGAATTTTTTTGAAAATTAAATTGCACAGCAGACAAGAAAAAAACAGAGAAGGTCTGGAAGGAAAGGTAAAGGCCTAAAGAAATATAAGCAATGTTTAGTAAATATTTTTTCTTGACTGAACCTGAAAATGGGTTCCTTGTGTTTCAAAATGCAGTATACCATACAGTACTATTCACAGCACTCTGAACAAGTTGTTCCAGAGACTCGGGAAACTACTATTAAACTTCTTAGGAAGTTTTATAAACCAACTAATAAATGACATAGTACTTCAGACATTAACACACACAGTTTTGTAGCATACCACCATATCCATAGTCATGAACAATAAACAAACTTTTAAACCCCACATGTTAATATCCTAATGATTACAATATGTAGAGCCCAAACCAAATTTTAGGGGAAGCAATTTCATTGACTGTCGCAGGCATAGATCAGATAATTCTTGCACCACAGCAATGCTCAAAAGAGGTCATGGCCAAATAATATTCTTTCTGATGTTTCCAAATAGCAGACCAGTCAGTGTGATCAAAAATATCTGAGAAAGAGAAAAGGATGCATTAAAAACAACAAAGAAAGTGTTGATACTCACTCATGACTGAGTCAATATGACTGCTAACCTGGCTCCTATGAATGACAGTGCAGACAGATATAAAGGAGAATGACCAGGACATGCCGGAAAATACAAGCTGAACTCTTTGCTGTGGCACAGGCTTGCTGTGTGACCTCCAGTAAGCCACATCCACAGAAGTATCTTGAAATCTATTTTAAGTGGCATATAATTCAGTTATGTATCAAGTTTTTCAGTGCTCTATGAATCCAAATACGTTTGGACTCAATGATCTTAAAGATCTTTTCCAACCTAAATGATTCTATGATTCTTGCTCTTAACCTCTTGAATGGTGATAACAGTTCCTTCCCATCTAACCATTAAGGTGTCGATGATAGTACACCGAAGAAGATCATGAGACACTCATGGACTTTGCTAGTACATGAGTGCAGTATTTGCTTGTACTAGTGGCTAGTACATGAATAAAAAATGTTTTTATTACTGAACTGGCCCATCCAATAGCTGTAATGTTTTTATTACATACTTCTGGGGGAAGGTTCTACATATGGAAGACTTAAAATAGGGCATACTTTTAATTCTCTGAGTAAAAATGAACTAAACTCATTTTCAACCTCACAATTCTAGATATTATCAAAAATCTTTCTGCCTGCTCGATTGTACTCAAACATCAGGGTGTCTGTGGAGTGAAAGATCAGTTATTGCCATTATTAATATGATTTTGGTTTTATATTGATTTATTCCTTTTCACCCAATAAAATTTTCTCACAGATATGTGTGGGAGGAAGGATTTTCATGATTTTGTAATTTGATTTAACATATTCATGGACTAGGTTCTGTACAGCTACAGGACAAAAGAGGCCTTTTGCTCCACAGATTTTAGATTCTCTGTAACTGCTTCCTGTCCTTGCAATGCCATTTGCTTTCGCAAGTCAGGTCAAGCATTTCATTCAACAAGCTTTGGATACCAACATCTGTGGTGGTGCTTGAATATATGAGAGTTTGTTGGTAAGCAGTGCTTGATCTTACTCCTATTTAAAATTGATAGAAAGCTTTAAAAAATTTTGGAGACCGTGGCAAAGCCAAATGGCAATGAATTGACTTTTACCCCCAGCAGAATATCAATATTTTGTGGGTTTTTTGCTTAAAAGTACTCTTACCTGTGTAATTAGCAGGCTGACAGTAATTGCAGTTAAGATCAAAGCATTGTTTTCAAACCATGTGTTCAAATGTTCTTCACATCCCTAAGCAAGTACAGATGAACAGATTTCAAGAAAAAATAATTTCAACTTTGCAATACATATTGCATCTTTATAACAGCATACTTTAAAAATATATAGAATAGGACTTTCTACATGTTATGACACGTTCTAATATTTACTTGCCAGAAAGTAAACAGATCAGTAATGTGTACTACCTAGAGTCAGCTATAGCATTTTTTAAATTATCTGAACTGAACAGATAATACTTAAGTATATCTGATATTTATGGAAATCTGATATGGAAATGTTACAAAGCTTGTGAATTAATCAAAATGGAATTTGTTTTTGTGTGAGCATAACTGAGAGTTTTCCTTACAAGTAAATGCATGAAAGAATATTTTCAAGTCTTCACAGATTCTCATGCATTATGCATCCTGAAACGCGTGTGCATGTTTTTCAGATCACAGTCTATGCCTATTGTATTGGTTTTTAAACTGAATTATAAATTCTTATATAGTTTAAAATAACTATAAATAAACAGATGATTTCCATACATTGAAGTGATCTTTAATAATTACAAGGGTTTGTAGAAAGAGAACAACTCAAGACTGATGAGCAAAAGAAGACAATATCAGATGTCATTTGATAACATCCTTTCTATTACTTACTGTCTTACATTGTCAAGAAAAAACCTGTGCCAATTGAATTTGTGTTCTCATTGGATGGTCCTATTAACACGTGAGGGTATATTGAAGAAAGTAATATGTATCACTGGTCCCTTTATATAAAGAAATGTAAATGCTAACATGAACTGTCTTGGGAAACACATCTCATTTTTCAATCCCTTGCTCATTCCTTTTGTCCTGTAAAGTATTGGAGATAGATGCTCTGGAAACAGAGTACAAACAGGTGGAGACATTGATGACACTCTGTAAGTAATTAATAGTAATTACAAGTAGAAAATGTATTTCGTATTTTTATATACGGCGATTTCCCATTGTCGTCACTGATTTCCACAGCATGGATTTCTGAATGCCAAGATGTTTCCTGCTTCATAAAGTGCTACTATATGTCCCAGTGTAATACCGATCAGGCATAACAGCTGTTTTCTTGAAGCATCCTTAATCTAGAACTGACTACATGACTGACACCTAACAAGTAAAAAATAAGTCTTCAGAGTGACCAAAGACAAAAAAATGAATGTTATCGATGCTTTGGCATTTGTAAGGCAAGTCTTGGTAGAAAACATGTTTTGAGTTTTGGTGGGGTTTTTCAATTGGTTTTGTTGTTTTGTTTTGTTTTGTTTTGTTTTCAGTTTTCAAAGTCCATTTTAGTAGTAAAATTTACATTCATCAAGACAGGTATTTTATTTCTTACCATGCGGTATGTTGAACCCCTTGGGACATCACAAAACCATTTCTTCAGGCTGGATTTTGTGCATGAACATGGGATCTGAGTACTGTTTTCCTTGTTTTTATTCTTTTCCCACTGTGTAACATTGTATCTTCCACAGCATTCCATCTAGAATAGAAATACTGTAATTTGTTAACTACAACACCTATAAAGTCTGTCACACAGAGGAATTTCTACCCCAATGAGTGTTAGCTATTAGTTGATTAAATTAGCTAGGTAAGTATATGCTCACTGTGAAATATAACAAAATGAAAACAGAAAATTATACATTATAGGAAATAAAAATAATTATTGTTGTTTCATAATCAATGTGATAAATGTGGAGACATTTTAATAACACATATTTTAATAAATAAAAATAAAATCATATACACTCTGGTTTACTCTGGTTGAGAAAAGTTAAATAAGGACCAGATTTTCAAAACTTTTAGTTATTTGTTTGCTACTTCTAATGTTGTATTTGCAAAAACACTCTGCTCTTATCAAAAGATATTATGCCCTGTTCAAATGAATTATCAATTAGCTCTTCCCAAGAACCTATTTCAATCCCTGTCACACAAAATAAAACCAAATCACCAAACAGTGTGGAGAATGGAATTCTTCTCATGTAGGAAATTCCAGCAGTTTTTCATTCTGAATCAGGATAAAACTTCAGAAATATTTGTTTTATGGGATGGAAAGTCTGTCATATTTTAGCTCAGATTATCCCAGCACATAGTTTAGCTTCACCACTGACATAGTGGAGTCACCATTAATCACTAGAGAAATCATGAATGCAATGAGAGAAGACTGTATTTTCAAAGAACATACATTACATTTGTATTCTTGAGTCTAGACATACATGCTTTGTGTGTTATCTGGAATCATAAATTATCTTCAACATTTGTCAAGAACTGTGTAATTCACCTCTGCAAGAAGTCATGTCAAGATATTCACACCTGTTCTATAGAAATATATTAAACCATATTTAATTGCTAAACTGCAGTGTTTATAATTAAAAGCTCGTGATGCAGAATTAATTTGCAGGGTGGATGGCAGGCCACATCCCACTGGATGAAAACATTGCCAACAACTTTCAAAATAATTGATCCTAAACAAGTGCTTTAAAGGACTTTTCTGAAATAGGAAACAAATTACATGTTGCCAGGCCACAAAAATTATTATGATTAATAATTAAGAATGTGTGCTGACAGTATTGATACATAAACTCATTTGAGGCTTTAAGTATTACTTCTGAGAGAGTCTCAGTGCAGTACCTATTCAAATGCTCTGCAGTAGGAGCTCTGGTTTGACATCATAGTATATCTGTTCATGGTTCAGGTCAGTCCTGATGCCTAAGCAGACCAAGTGTTTTATGATACCTAGAGTTGCTGAAGATATTAGAAAACACATTGTTCTTTTCAGCTGCAATAAACTTCAGTGACCAAAGCTGTCTGCCCCTACATAAATTCACAAATCCTTCAAAGTCCTAATTTCATCCATAATAACTCACATAACAGCAAAGAATCTGCCTACCCACATATTAGCAGCCTATCTTGAAAAATTCATCCTTCACTAAAGGAGTTGTTTTTTTAAAGTAAGTTCTTGTTGGTATACACATTTTGGCTGTATTTTTGGTGGTGATAATTTATTGGATTTTTCCTTACATTATGCTGCACAGCATTCAGAATGTTCCACACAGGTTCCTGCTCGGCCAGACTCTTGTTCCCATATTCAGAAATAACTTCATCAATTCTGTTATTCCATTGATTGTGGACCTGTTTATAAATATTTATAGAATTTGAGAGACGCATATTGAGTGTGGATGGATAGTACAACCTTTGATCTTTCATTGATACTCAGGTTTCTTCAAGGGTTACTTGCAAACAGCAACATTGTAATCAATTTGACAAATAGGATCTGAAACATGTCATAGCCATTGCACTAATAGGAAAGTTGAAAGCAAAAGGGAAAGATAAATGAAGTGATCCAAATCACAAAAATAACACAGTCAGACACAAGGTGATTAGCCTAAATGGAGCCAGAAGAAACAGAGAACATAGTCAAGATGCACCTGATCTGTCTTGAAATACTAAATCCTACCTGTCATACTTATTTTTAGTAAGCACAGCACCATACAGTAATAAGCAGAAAATCAAAATTGATTCTATACCTGGTGTGATACACACTTGTGTGAGCACCATACGTTACTGCTTTGCGCTAGGAAACGTTATTGCTTTGAGCTAGGAAAGTAAGCAGTTCATATTGGCCATAGATTAGGGTCTTTGCAGACACTATTAAAATAACCCTTCAACAACAATTGAAGTGGACAAGCTAATCAGACATAGAGGGTGCAGCAGGGAATGCATGCAGAAAATAACTCCTAGGCTACTGGAAGGAATCATTACAAAACAAGAAAAAATGTGGCTTCTCTAACTCATTCCCCTTGCTACAGTCATCCTAAAAAAGAATAACTCAAAAGCTTGCTGAGTGAATGATGATGTTACCATAATTTATTATACTTCAACAACACTTAATTAAGGTTGAGATCAAGTACAATTACAGCTGATATACAATGAATTTAACTGCAATCTTTCAACCAGTTTTCCTAGCACAAATAGCTGACTCCAGAATGCAACACTGTTGACAGTTCAAATCCTTCACCATGTAAAACTATCATATAAACCAGGGAGGACATCATTATAAATTAACATTTAATAAAAAATCTTGATGAAACAGATGCACTCTGATGGAGTAAAACTTATTTATTTGTGTTGTATTGACTTAATAGCATCAGGATTTGGAGAACGATATGAACCTTATGAGACTGGTGTCACAGGAGGTTTTCTCAAACCATAGATTTTGGAATTATGTAATAGGGAAGCAGCCAGATCAGTATGGATTCTGTACCAATTGCCTTTCATATAATACTGTGAGGATTCCTTAAGCTATTAGTCTTGCTATATGTAGAAAAATGTCTGAATAAAGCTTCAAAGCAGTACAGATACTATTACCATCCATGTTGGTATTTACGTTTGCTTCCTGTTGTTAAAAGCAAAGGTACATACTCCTTATACTAGAGCTCTATCGAAATAAATACAGGCCTAAAATTCATTAGTATACTTCTCATCCCATGACACCAATGACTCCTACTACCAATTGCAAAGCAGACTACAGTTATCACTTGCTAGGAGATACAGGTTAGCATCTAATGCTTTCTTTTACTTGTGCTGATGTCCAGGAAAGAGGGACTTTGTGGGTCATCCCTCAAAGAAGAATAAAGCTGTCCCTTACACTGTTGATTCCACATTCCTGAGCAAGAGAGTATGTTTTGTTGCAGAGGATAAACTGGTAATATGTTTCCATGCCCACCCATTTACAATTATTGAACCATGATGAATTCCTCAAATTAAGTTTTCCACATCTTCTTCTATACCTGGTCGACATACAGAATAGTCAAGTTCAAACACTGATACAGCATAGAGTGAGAACTATTCGAATTTTTTTTAATTAACCGCACGAAACCATTTTGAAATTATCAGCAGTTTCATGTAGTTTATTTACATACCTCTTCTTTCTTTGCAAATATAAGCAACAGTATTGCCATATGGGTAACAAACACTAGGATTTGAAAACTCATATACTGGGGAAGAAAAACAAACAAACAAAAAAACTAAGTTATGGATAAACATAATATTGAACAAGTGAGTATTTCAGTAAAAAGTCCCAGGAGCTCATGGATGACTCATGACTTCATGACTATTATTTACAGTCATTTGAACAAAAGTAAGAAACATTTTTTTTCCTGGAAACCATCAGAAAGTGACATAGTCCAAGAGACAGGCTTCAGGCAAAGCACAACTCACTGATTTGGGCTTAAAGACAAAGCCATAACTTGCAAGTGGGGAGCAAAAGCTGTCCTTAAGCAGCTGTGCTCCACTGAAGAAAACTCATTTCATTATTTCTTCTCTGAATTACCATAGTACTTAAGTCACATGCCTAGTTAAGGACTTTTTTGAGCTATAAGATGCCCAAACAAAACAAAATAATTCATTGCATTAATTTTCAGTGAGATGCTGTGACACTAGATACTTCCATTGAAATTGGAAATGAGACAGTTCTTTCTCTTTCATCAATTAATAAATTGAGGGAAACGGGGCAGTAGCAGGACAGAAGAAGGCACAAGAGTCCTTGTTATACCATCAGGGCTCCTCTCACAGCTGTGCCAACTGATATTTGTAGCGCTTAATAAATGAATCAGTAGAACAGTTTTCTGCTTTAGCCTTCACATAGTCTAAACCAGACTGCTCAAAAAGGGTAACAATAAACAACAGACAAAAATACAATCAAAGTGACCATAAGAATGCATAATTACCATGTAATTTTTCAGAAGTCAAGATCTTCTTCTCTTAAAAAGCAGAATTATATATAAATATGTAGTGTGCAGGTAGGCCTACATGGGTAATAGCTTTCCAATCATACTCTCCATTTTGATACTGCAGCCATAATGTAGCTACCTGTGTCGTCAACCTGCAATATTTTGGGGCAGGTTTTTCTTTATTTCTTCAGCATATATTAAGCACATGAGCACATACTGAGAGAAAGTCTGCATAATTTCAGTACTAATTTTAAGACCTCTAACTTAAAAAATACAGCGGTTAAAACCTTTGCTATTTCAAACTGCAAGTGCTCTGACATTGAAAAAAATCATACAGTGATATGGAAGGATATTCAGTTTTGTTCAGATTTCATTTGAGCTAGGACCTTATTTGAAATATCTTTGTATCTGCAGATTTGTTAAGCACTGTATGTGGAAATCACATTATCAAGACAGTATTACAGTTTTCATGCCTGCAAAACTCCCCTTCATTTTACAAGAAAGTTGGAGTCTGATCTACACGTACCATAACTAGTAGACATTTGACTTCCACAACACTTCCAAGTAATCCCATGACTGATGTAAAAGTAATAACAGATCCAATTCCAAGTAATATGTAGGAAATAAATGCCACTAGTTGGTTCTTGCCTGAAGAAACTGTAACACAGTACATTCATACTGTAACTTTTCTTTTTGAGACTTCACTTACAAAACTTATTCCAGAAAAACAATAAAATCTTTGCAATGTTGTTACTGAAAGGGTGGAAATAGCAAAATGGTGAAAGGATATTATTATTATTTACACTATGAAGAGTCAGAGAAAGAAAAAAAATATATTTCCATAAATGCAGGCAATGGTAAGAGCATGTAACATGTAAACAAGAACATATTCAACTAAACAATGTGAACCGCTCACAATGAAATCAGAGAACAATTACAAGTTTGCAGATATTTCTTTCCATTTGGCAAAAAATTAGTAGCACATGTACAAATACTATGCAGACATATAGTTCTCATTAAATCCAGACTCAGATTCAGTGCTAAACTCCATCTTTGTGACGAGCCACTTTCCCCATTCCGTTCTAATCATTTTTGGTTAGATATGGAAAGTAGCAGAAGGTTTCATTACTTCTGTCTCAAATGCTTCGTACCAGAATTACTATGTTGGATGGTTCCTATATTATCAGTTGGGAACTGATGTTCCTTGGCGTACCCCAAGGCAGACAGCTCATCGAACATCCCAGCTGTAGTTATGGGACCCAAACCTTACTTCTTTGTGAAATGATTTGCTAAGACACTCTGCAAAAAAGGAATATCTATATGGAGAAACCCAAGCTCCAACCTGTGTTTATTCCACCCAAATATCCAACTAAAAGATCTAATGTCAAGAGGAAAAAAAACGTATGCATTTCAATCCAATACTGCCACCTTGTGAAAAAAACTTATTCTGTCACTGTTTATGTTAATTTATCCTACAATCATTTGAAACAAAAGAAAAATTCTATTTATACTCACATAACACACTGAATAAATTGTTTCTGTCAAATAAAAGCCACAGGCCAAATGTCAAAAGCATACGACCCAGAGCCTGGAGAAAGAAAAAAAAAAAAAAGAAGAAGAAAAAGCGTTATTGTTTTAATTAAAAACATTAAAAAAAATTGAACCTTATAAATAAGAAAAAAAAAACAGAATTTTTACCAAGAAAATTCCTTTGAAGATATTTAAGTAGTACTTCTGAATAATTATTTTATCTTTTATTTTAATTCTTCCATTTTCAGTTTTGAATCACAGCTGAAAATATAATTATATATTTATTTCAATATGAAACAGATATAACTAAGCTTATTAATTACAATGGGATTTATTTTCTTCAGCTAATGTTTTGTAAATTTAAACAGTCACCTCATACATTGAACAGAAAAATAGTATTAACACTAGAAGCATCAAGATGATGTCTGGTCTCAGTTGCCTCTGATGTTACACTGTACAATAAGTATTTCCTTTTTTAGCCTTTTTTTCTGAACTGCTAAAGACATTTGGAGACAGCATGTATGTGGCAAGATTTATATTGCAGGATGGCAAGAATTACATAGTCTGGAATACACTTTTGTTTATATATTTCAATATACTTAGTTTACTAATTATTAAAGATACCAGCTGAAATGAAGAGACATAACCATAGTAAAGACATAAGCTCTCATTTTTTTAAGTGACCTAATTCAATGTTTTGCTGAAAATAGTAGATACAGCCTAATTATTTCAGTGTGATTTAGCACACAGTTCTAGCAAAGCCATAAGAGCTGTCGAACTGTGCTACCCTTTACACTTTTGAAGTGGATCTCCTAGTCACTCTGCTTACTTTTTTCCTCTGTTATTTTAATTGTGGTATGCAACAGGATGTGAAAATTTTAATTCCTTTCAAATGAAATTGAACCAGAAATGCACTTCATCTATCATCAACAGCAAATCAATGGAAGGGCAAGCAGAGACCCTTCCCACAGCAACTGCCCTGAAATACATGTAAAGTGTGCATTAGACCCTGAGTACCATCCAAGAATCATCCTTGCAAATGCTTGCAAATGTCAACAGGACCACAATGAAGTCACATGGGCATTCATATCTTGAGCATAGTTTGAGTATTTCAGTGGGAAAGACCCCTAGCACTGTAAACTCTTTGATGCAGGATTTCTTTTTATATACATATATATCATTATTGATATTATTATCATCATAGCACCATATCTTCTGGGCCTCTGAAGCTTTTTGCAGAGAAAGTGAAACTCGTACCTGCCTCATGTTCCCTTTCACCTGTCTTGCCTCTTCTCTAAACATACTCCAGGATTTTAGTCTGCTTGGCTTTGTGGTACAAGCCGAGAGGAGTCCAAGAGCAGCAGTGTTACAAGATTGACTGCAATGGCAGCCAACTGCAGTTGTCCTACACTTCTCATGTGTTAAGCAGGCAGGCACAGAAGCATGCACAGACACATGAATGTAACCAACACAGGCATAGTCTTCAGAAAATATTTTCTAATGCAAAGGGATTTGTTTGAAAGGAATTGTTCTTGTCTTCTGTCAGAATTACTATGGATTGATTACAGTAAGAAGTTACATCTTCTGTTATTTGCAAAACAGAAAAACAGAGACGAAACTTCTGCGGTCAAAAAATATCTTGCGTTAACAACCTATTTTACATGCAAAGCATATGTTACATATGTATCAAATTTGTTGATTAAAAGATTCAGTAAGCGCAAGCTTTGACTGCCCTGTCAAGATCCTCATGCCTGTATTCTGAATATTCTGTTGCTGAAATGTAGAATGAAGAAAGCTGTAGGATTCTCCAACTAGCTCTGTAGCAGGTTTGAGTCAGTAATACACTATGTAAACTTATGGACTGTATTAGATAACTGGTCTCGCACTTTCGCAGAAGAAGATCCACTACTTTAAAGAGTAATAAAGCTTCATCAGAATTTTCAAAACCATCATGTGTTAAAACATTGGTGTGATGTGTTATCCAAATAAAAAACCCTCAACAGTATTTCACTTGAAAACTGGCATCTACAATAGTTTCTGTTGAAATAACTGCAGTTCCTATGCTTTATTTTGAGCCATTTTAATAATAAGTCAGTTTATCTTCAATAATTTATCTGAAAAACAGAAATATTAACTTTATAAAATTATTTAAATTTTACATTACATTGTTGCTTCACACTAAAAATACTTACCAGCTCTGAATATTTCTATCCTACCTTAAAGAGAACAGTCTCATAATGATATGTTTCTTTCTGAAGTCTCACTTAACCGCATCCTTACAACAGAGAAGTTTTCTTCTGTTGATCAGCCCTGACTTCCTGGTTACAGGCAACAGGCCTACAGAAAAAAATCTTTTTTGTTGGCAAAGATGTTTGCTAAAGGCATGACATAGTGCCTGCAGTCTTCAGTTGCCATGAGTACAGCCTAGCTTGCACTTACAAAACAAATACTAAGTGCACAGTCAACTCAGTGCTTGAATGCTTGACCACATTGAAAAGTTCACTGGTTACATAATTCTGTAAAATACAGGACTTTTCAAATGGATGAGTTTCCACTGTTTTAAAATAATTTATATGTCTTACTCATCCATAACACTGATAAGAAATTGGTAAGCAGTTGCCCTTGAATCCAGTATTCTGAGGTTAGCATCCACAAGTCTTTCAGAAAGGTCCTCAGTTTATTTTAAAGACAGTAGATGAAAAAAAAAAACAAAACTGCTATCATAAATTCATCATAAAATCATAGATTGGTTTGGGTTGGAAGGGACCTTAAAGATCATCTGCTTCCAATGCCTCCTGCCATGGCCAGGGACACCATCCACTACACCAGGTTGCTCAAAAGCCCTGTCCAACCTGGCCTTGCCAGGGATGGGGCAGCCACAGCTTCTTGGGGATGCTGTTCCAAGGTCTCACCACCCACTCAGTAAAGAATCCTTGGCAGATCCTTCCCATTGCTCACTAAAGTGCCCATTTTCTATATAAAACCTGTCTACCTTTCATGTCTTATTTTTCTGTTGTACCTGTCTTTGCACCTTGGTATTCCTCATCTAACTTTGGGAACAGATGCATTCCCTAGAACACCACTAAAACTAAAAAGGGTATTGTCTGCACCCTCCCTGCCCAATATGATTTTGCGAGATTGAACTGTGTGGAGTCTTTAATTACATGACTGGGCATTTTCTACAGGTCCCGAAGACCTGTGTGTGGCTAATTGTAGCAAAGTATTTCTCATCTCCAGGCAGTTTATAAAGGAATAGCATTCAGAAGGGTTCAGAATCTTGCCTAATGTTCTGCTGTTGCTTTTTCAATCAGATTCTGAAGTGTTCATGTTCTAAATCTCAATTAGTATTGAATCCTGCAAAGTGAACATGGCATTTGTCATTTAGATATGTAGCTACAGGACACAATCAAGGGTATACATGTAAATTACACAAAGCTGGTTAATGAACAAACAAATGTAGCAGACAATAACCCATGCCCTGTGGCAGGCTGCTAGAGATCAGAAAGCGCTTTAGGTTCTCAGGCACACTTTACATGTATTTCAGGGGCAATTGCTGTGGGCAGCATCTCCACTAGCCCTTCCATTGCCTGAGAACCCATTTGCAATTGATGTTGATGTACATTTCTTGATTTAGTTTCATTTGAGAGGAATTAAACTTTTCACACCCTGTTACAGTCTGAAAAAAAACAACAAATCAGAACAACCTAAAACCAAAAAAAAAAAAAAAAAACCACTGCAGGGATGCCTGGTGGGTTTTCATTTTTTATGCCTCTGGAGTTGTCCTGGCATAAAGGAAGCAAAATTGCAGTGGTTTAATCCATCTTTATATAGTTTATTTTTGGTTTGCTTTAATTCTTTTTTCTGATTAATTGCTGATTCAGATTTATTCTGAACACTGCATTCCAGTTCACTGCTTACAATAAAAAAAAAAGCATTAAAAAGTATACACACACGAAAGGGTTGCGAGGTGCTTAGTCCCGTAGAGCGGCCTCCCAAGAGCCGCCGCCCCACCGGCGCGAAGCGCCACCTGCTGGCAGAGCTTGGATCCTCCTGCTTGCCTTCCCAGCAGCGGCTTCCCGTTGCCTTGGCGACGCTTTGCGGTCAACAGAGTGGTGGAGAGATTTTCGCCGTCCCGCGAGAGCCTGACTAGAGGCGGTTGAGGGCTGCGGAGTTTCACGGCCGGGGGGTGGCCAGTCTCCGGAGTCAGCCAGGAAGGCGGAGGCTTCGGTGGGAGCTCGGCTGAAAGGAGTGAGTAGCTGCACGGAGTAGACCGAGGAGACCGAAGGGCTATGGGCTCCCGAGAGGGAGGACTACAGGCCCCAGCATGCAACGCAAACACTTTGCGGTCATTCCGGGAAGTGACGGCTGGCAGGCATCCTCCCTATCGCCATGGCTTCTGGGAGCTGTAGTTCCTCTCAAGAAGGAACTTCTTTGTGCTAAACTTTACGTCTGGGACGCGCCCTGCGTGTTTGTTCTCCTGTTCCAGGAGCCGGTGACAGACGAGGCTCGCTGGCTCTGATGGAGCTGGTCTGGGCTTCCTCCCCTGCCCCCTGACTGGGGCTAGGAGTGAGGAGTGGGGTACGGATTGCAGAGGGAGAGGGGGATAGCTGCGGACCCCTTCCCGTCCTGCCTGCGTCCGTCTACAAGTCTTGTATGTACTTCTGTGGGTTAGTCTATTTCTCACTGCTTTTTCTGTATTCTTACAACTTCATCGAATGCTTTCTGGGTTCTTAGTTTTATTTTGTAATTGTTAATATCAACTCTCTATATATATGTAGTTGATATAGTTGATATATATATAGTTGATAAATACTATATATATAGTACATATATAGTTGATATTAACAATTACAAAACAATTACAATATAGAGAGTTGATATTAACAATTACAAAACAATTATATATATATGTGGATATATGGATATATTTAATTTGCAGCTATTAGGTTTGTGGGGAAAAAAAAACAAAACCAACCAAACAAAAAACAAACAAACCCCAAAACAAAAAAAAAAACCACAAACACCCAAACCTTTGTGAGGCTTAGATCACAGCACTGATACTGTCCACTAGGAGTAGAGAGCAGGCAGACTTTTTTAATATACAAATTTAGTAGCACCTGCAGAATTTCGAGGGGTAGACTGAGAGTCTCTTATCACTAACAGTTTTCTTATTTGCTTGCTGGTGTGGAGTGAAGTTCTCAGAACAAACTTCTGCTGTTCCTTTCATGTTTTAAGCCAACTGTTCAGCAAATACAACTAAGCTTATGCTAAAAAAAGCATCGTCCTATTTTGTTTCATACAGTGCTGAAAGTTAAAATTTTCCTTGTGCAGATTTGAAAGCAGATAAGACACTGTGGAAAGTAAAATGTCAGAAGATACTGAGGGAATTGAAAAAGAAATAGAAGTTGAATTAAGCAGAATCAGTGTTTCTTCCTTTGAAGCAGACCTTGACACAGAGGTATCAGATGGAGCTTTGAGAGACAGTGAGGCAGTAAGTATTCAACAGGCTAAAAATGCTTCTATTTCTGCTTGAAAGTAGTAAGGGCATTGGAAAGCTGATCTAATGAATGAAGTTTTTCCTGACATACCTAACCTGAGGATTTATTCTGAAAAGTTGTCTCAGTAGTAAAGCTTCATGAAAAAACTGTAACTGCCAATGGTGACAAGACAAGAAGACAGATGAATATCAGCATTCTGCTTAAGTGAGGCAATCAGACTCGGAGGTAATGTGTTTAGATCCTCTAAAGCAGGAATATTTTATTAAAGTTGATGAGGTAGATTAAATCTGGATGAATAAACCAATGTTTCTTCATTTAAATCTGTATTTAAATCTTACAAGATACTGTCTAATGTTTGAAGATTTCTTGTTATTAATTTAATATAACTTGATTGCTTAAGTCCTCTTTGTTGGATGACTTCCTATTTTGGAAAAATATTTTCTTTTGAAATCCAGTCATAACAAAAGGATTGGTCTATAAGTTATTAGGATAGATTGTACTGGTTGTGTGTGACCATATATCATATGTTTGATATGACATAAAGATCAGCAAAGGCATCAATGATAATTATTTATGCACGCACATGCTGAATGCCAGCAATGCCTACCACAATTCACACATCTGAGAAAAGGCAGCCCATTTCCCCAAATCCTTGCAGTATTTGTTAATTTTTGTCTTAATCTTTTCCTTAATTTCTTGGTCCAACACAATTACACAGAAAATATTAATTGAAACGTTTATGGAGGTAGTGGAAGATAAGTTACTAAGATGTGTTCCAATCAAAATTTACTTCGAATGTAATTAAAAGCGAGAATTATTAATTGTTCAGTAGGTAATAAGATAGTGGGAAGAGTGTAGTAATTGGGAACAATGTTGGTAGCCACTGCTACTTAATCTCCATTATTATAGGTGAAGCCAAAATGAGTATTCTTGCATGTCAAGTATTTACCTCTGGTCATGATTGTGAGATGAAGATGCAGAATTTGTGTCAAATACTTTGTTTTTCTAGATTTCAGATGACTTGCCAGAATCAGTTATCTCCTATTTAAACTTCATAAAAAGTAGAAATCAAGATGCTGAAAAGTTTATACTGCAAGACTTAGAAGATGAAGAAACTGCAAGTATGCAAGTGTCACAGATAAAATATTTACACACCTCGTATTGCCACTGGAAGTTAGACTAACAATCTGAAGCCAAGTTCAGAGTTTATATGCCCAGGGAGCTGACATTGTCTGTTCCATTCTAGTTTTTCACATCATCTTGGGTTTCACGCTCATTTAGTGTAATGGTCTTTGTGAACAGGAGATTCAGTAATTGTCTATATATTTTTATGTTTGAGGAAGGTTTCTTTGTATAATTTTGTTTGGTTTTTTCTAATGGGCTCATTATTTTTGTAGTTCTTTGATTTTGACCTGTCTGATACAAGTTCTACTGTATTTGTCTACATGGAAAATGTTCTGCTGTGTTCTATGCTGTGGAATTCTCTTTCATATTTCCTATAACTGGATTCTTACAATATCATTGTTTGTGTTCCAGATGCACATATTTGCTGCATTTCATGTGCAGAAATGACTGCTATACATACTTGACTAAAATTTGGCCTGTTTAAGAGTTTTAAAGGGAAATAATGTTTTGTTTTACTTTAAAGAAATACAGTAGCAAAGCAATATAGAACAGAAGTGAGTACTGGCAAAGGATTTTATCTCTGTGTACTAAATTATATATTTATTTTATATATTTATTTCTTCTTTAGGTAAGATTTATGGAGTAGTTTCTTGCCATGCGTCAGATTACTTGGCAGAATTGGCTTCTGAATATAATGAAGATCCAGAACAATTTAAAAAAAAGGTATTCTCTATTTAAATAATATTTATAATGAACAAAATTCTATTAATTAATCTAATCTCCTCCTCCTAGAGGAGACCTATAGGTGTATTCAGTATCGTTTCTGTCATACTAAGGTATTAAGACGAGTTTGTACATGCTGTTCTTTATAACCAGGTCATCAGCTGTAATACACCATGTTTATAAGTTTTAAAATTTGGAATAAATTCTCTGTATCAGTAGTTGAGGTGCTCAGCACAAAAATCAATAAGATGAATTAAAACTGAATAATCTTTTATTGCTAATTATTTGCAGAATATTATCTCAGTAGTATGATAACACTTTTAAAATTCTCTTATCTTTTTATCATGATTAGGAGGATGTGCTACTATTAGTCTTGCCCCTATTATATTCCATTATTTTATAGAAAATTTAAAGATAATAATGTCTGTAACTTTCATAATCAAGAGCTATCAATCTGGATTCTTTTATGTTTTCATAGGATTTAACTGAGTAACTTGCTGAAGTTTTTAGAAAAATATAAAACTGTATTGAATTTAATCACTTTTAATTTGTTGCCTGGCTTTTATTAGTATGCACTTTTGCAAACATGATTTTTCTCAGAACACCATTGTTTAGCACAATTACTTCATGTGACTTCAGTTGCATTAGAAATATTAACATATGCCCCAAGCAGGTGATGAACAGATGATAAATGAGCAGGAATAAATTGCTTCTTGCCAGTAAAGAACAATGAAAGAAACATAGCAATCTGCATGTCCCTAGTATTACTTCCAATCAGATTCCTTAAAAATTTACTTTGTAACTAGTTTTTCCCCTGTGTGCATAACAGTATTAATGCATAAATAAAGTGGTTAGTTCCAGAGAAAGGAAAACAAATCCCAAATGCAAATCATTCATTTTTCTAAGTCAAAATATATTAAAAAAACCCACATAGAAATATTATGTGTTTTGAGAAATGGTCCAATATTTATTACTCTGGAAAACAATATTTTGACTGATACATTTACATTATTCAATGTCTAAGGATTCCAGTCAGTAGTAAGTTTTGTATTATTGTACTTTTCATATGATGAAAAGGTACTGTTTGAAATTGAAAATGAAGACTTACAGATTGCTACAACAACTAGTTATAACAGGCAGTCCACCAGTGATGAAGTGGTATCTGATGACCATTTTGTTACAGGTAAGCAAATGCATTAGTCTTTTGGTTGAGTTGCTCTTCAGTGTCATATCACTATTTCCTGCTTTTCTGTTTTCATGAGTATCATAGCATTCTTTGTAAAGAATTACATGCTTCAGTATGGATTAAATTTTGATACTTCCCAAATTGGACATGAGCAAATGCTTGCGCCTTTATCTCATTTTGGACCATGAAATTACCCTTTTCTCTAATGTCTTTATAGAAATTTGTTTAAAAAATGCTACTCAAAATTATGGAAATATTTATGGATACAAATAATTATGAATACAAATGGAAACCAGATTTGATGCACTAAGCAGGTTGTGCTTTGGTCATAACTTATAGTCATATTGGCTGGGAGTGTTTCCCTTTGCCATGTCCTTTTCATGTTTTGGGAGTGGATTGCATCAGTTATAAAACCCCTGCTGATAGCCACAGAAGACATTAATCCTGAATCCAAAGTGTAATCCTGAAATATACATCGATAGAATAAGAACGATTCTAACAGAGTCAGTAAATGTGCATCATGATAATAAGATATATCTGATGAAAAAGACTCATGTAGTTCAGATTTCCCTGGGGATATGTATTGCTGTCTTTATCAGCACAGAATCCTTTTCTTGTCAATACTTTAAAACTTTTTAATGGCCCCAGTGCTCATAAGGAGATAAAATAAAAGGTTTGGTTGGTTGATTACAAATTCATAGCTGATGTTGAAATGAGCATAAGCCTTACTCATCGTGAAGTAGAAGAAAAGTGTAGACAAGAACTTGAGCAGTGGGAGAAAAGACAAAAGGAGCTTGAAGATGAGAAGAGGAAAAAGTGGAAAGCTGAGAGAGAAGCACAGGAAAAACAATATGAACAGGAACAGACAAGAAGGAGGCAGCGTCTGGAGGAATTTGAGGCTGAAAAAATAAAGCTAGAGCTGCTTCATAAGGTAATCAGTGATGCTAAAGTCAATCTGTCCCCATCTAGACTATCTTAATTCAAGATCTAATGGGAAAAGGAGAGTACTAATATGACTGTCCTAAACTCTGTCTACTTGTGATCCCAAAGTGAAATGTAAGACATATTTAAGTATGATCCATTAAGTTTTATGCATTTACTACTTTATCAACAGTGATTGAATTTGCTGTGCTAAGTGTTAAATTGTTTTATTGGTTTTGCCTTTACTAAGTTTTTTTATATTATGACACTAGCCAAAGTACCAGAATTGAGAGTCGTGCTAAATTGCTCCCAAATTAAATATGGTCACTGTGCCTTAGTTGAAAATACTTACTTCGTACCTCCCACCCCAATTTAATATTTAGATGACAAATCATAGGTGAAGTTTTCTAAACCAAAATAATTCAGGTCAGAAATGCTGGTTTTGTGCTTCATCTAGGTAAAAATTACAATTCTTCCTTTTCTTGCCTGTATCTGGGAGTTAGACTTCATCTGCAGAGTACTGCCACAATGGAACATGACTCCACACATTGACTGGTTGCACTCTCAACGTATGTAGTCATTTTTTGTGATAGTGTGCATTGTGCATACTGAAGAATAAAATTTGATAGCTCCCCACAAAAGAGCGTAAGAATGTGAAGAAACGTACCTCTCAGTCATTTTACTTGTAGGACCGTAATATTTTATTATTTAGCCTAAATATTTGTATTCTGAGAGATGCATTAGCATTGCATTTTTAGTTAACTAATATATAGCTTTCTGAAGAGGTGGGCATCTTGGTCCCAGCAAGGTAATTAAAGTCACCAAAATTAAGGAAGGGCTTAGTAAGTGAAAAGACCTTTGATCTCTGAAGGCTAGTTAAGTGACTGATACAGCTCCCTTTTCAACAGGTGACAAAACTGATTAGGCTCCCTCTGCTCTTTTATGTCATGAAGCATTTCTGGATGTAGAATGACTTTCTTTCTCTGGACAAGGTGGGGCATATCCCCATTTAGACACTTTGGTAGTGTTGTCACTAGCACACTCTTTTTGGAGGTGAGACATGGAGACCAACTTCCCCCTTTACAGAAAGATCTAGACATTTAGTCTCCTACTATCTCAACAGTATAGTTCTGAATATGCATGAAAAACAGTGCTTAGGCACCTGGGAGTCTTTATGCCCCAAGTTGGAAGTGCTAGTTTATGTATACTGGTTCCTTCATATCCTGGTGTATATTTGATTTGGCTGATACTGATTTATCTTGGTTCCACTAGAAGTTATGTGGTTCTTGATAAGCCTCTTTTTTTTTAGGCACTTACTGTCTGCTAATTTTCAGTCAGATGTAATTTGCAGATAATTAATTCTTTTTTTCTCACTGAGAATATGTTGGGCAAGGAGTGAAATGCTATTTATTTTCAAAGAGTGAGAAAATAGATTTGAACTTTCATTTTCTGTTGAGGAACAATTTCAGTGAAAATAATTATTTAGCTTTACTGAACAGAATTCCTGTTTGAAAGATTTTAAGATCAACAGTAACATACCAGTGCAATTAAAGGAAGATTGTTCGCACTACTTTCAGAGTGTTTTGGTTATATTTCTATTATCTACCTGTACTTTGAATAGTTGTTTCACAAGCACAGTTTTCATCTTCAATAGCAGTACAGAATTTGGAAAGGAAGGTGGCAGTTGTTTGGGTCAGTACCAAGATGCTGATTCTGTGAAGGTATGCATCCTTCAGTACATAACCAAATCTTCATTACGAGTGTAAGTGCCCAGTTGTTTATTTTATTCTTGCACAGTTGAGTTTCTAATTTTAATTTAGGCATTCATAAAAGTGCAAAGTCAAGAAGGTGGGGGAGATTGGAGAGAGGGTGGTTTGTGATGTTCCAAGTTTTGTACAGTACTCACTTAAGTTAATTTGTTGTGCAGAAACACCAAATTGCAATAGGAGATGAGTTACTGAAAGAAAAGAAAGCTTGGAGAGACAAGACAATGCAACAAGAGGTAAGGTTCTACAATGAGGTTTTGTTGAAAGACTCTGAGGTTACTGTCACACATTGTAGAATCAATGTTATTCTGAAATAGTTAATACACTGTATTTATTTATTAATGCTAAATATATGTCAACACCTGTTGTATTTTAAAAGTGTTTGAAGTCTATCCTTTTTGTTTTGGCCTAGGAATTGATCATGAAGCTACAATTGCAAACAGAAGATGAGAAAAATGCTTTGGAAAAGCAGAAAACAAAAGAAAGACAACACCTGATGGAACAACAGAATACAGCAGCTGTGAAAATCCAAGCTAGATTTAGGTCATTTTTAGTCCATAAAAAATATGCTCCCATTTTAAAACAATGGAAAGATGACATAAAAAAAAAGCCGAAAATACTAGAAGAAATAGAGAGAGAAATGAAAGAAAAAGAGGAAAAAATGAAAATGCGAATGGCAGAAAATTGGCAAAAGAAAGAAGAAGAAAAAAAGAGACAAGAACTTCTTGAAAGACAGGAATATTTGGAACAGGTGAGATGTGAGGATTATGAGAAAAAGAAAGAAAGCCTGAGACTTAAAAGAGAAAAACAGTTGCAAATAAGAAAAGAAGAACAGAGAAAACTAGGAGAAAAAAAAGCAAAAGCTGTGATGATTGAAAGCACAGAAAAGAAGAAAGGAAACGTAAACAACCGTAAGCTGTCAGAAAATATGAAAGTACTAAGAGAACAGGAGGAGGAAGAAGAAGACAAACAGGCTGAAATGATGGATGAAAAAACATATTGGATTATTCCAGCAGAAAGAACTTTGACATCAACATCAAATATGCTAGGCTCTGAGAAGGAGCACTTTTTTCAAGTGAATAATGAGAGCATATACAAAAATTCAGTAACACATATAGGAGAAATTTACTCACAAACTAGAGATCTTAATAAAGCTTCAAATAGTCATACTTCAAGCAATGGATCTGTTAATTTTGGAACTAACAACATGGTAGAAAATAAGGCAAGCAATATATGCAACAGTCCACCAATCGTCCAACCAGATGGTAGTGATAAAGAAGTCAAAGATCATGTTTCTCAGTCTGAAACAAGGAAGAAAACTGTGTTTCTAATGGAAGATAGTAACGAAGTCAGAGAGACTTCAGACAAAATTCAAGATTTAGCTGAGTGTTCCAGTAGTATAATTCTTCCTGATGATATTGAAAACAAGAGAATAAACTGGATGAACACATGTAAATCCTGGTCTAAAATATATGAAGAAAATCAAAGAAAGAAAGCAGCTGAAAAAAAACGACCAAAGAAGAGTTCACTTAGCAAGATACCTAAGATGCCTCCATTAAGTACAGAAAAGATAATTCATAGCAACCCTTGGTGTACTCTGAAGCAGGTAACTATACAGAGTATTTAGAATGAAATTGGAAGCTACAACTTAGCTTTTTTTATTATTATTTTTTTAATTCAGTATGTCAACAAATGCTTTTTTGGAAGAGGAGGAGATTATCATTGAGCCGGATATAGATCTTAGTGAGACTTCCTCTGCATAAGTGCAGAATAAGGGCAATGAGAATTTGCCTTTTTTTGAGACTTTTGAATGCCTGTAAGCATTGTGGAGCAGACTAGTGTGGTATTAGTCTTCAGACAGTTGATAGTATCGTAAGTCTATAAAAGGCAGGAGCACCTAGCTCCTATTTTCTGTTAAATTAATGTGGTTTTTGCCTTGGTATGAGGGTCTGCATTTCAGCTCCTGCTTCTCTATCCTCTTCAGAGTTTTGGGAAGAGTAGTCTCTTCCAGAACCAAGACATTGCTGATCAGCTTATAGACAGTAGTTTTGCCATAAATAACATCTCTTGGTTCCCAGCACCTACTTTTCTTTGCAGTTGCTAACTTATCACTGTATGCCTGTTCTGTACTCTCATCTTGGTATCCAGTCTGATATGACTGCATATGCTTTTAGTCTGAACTATTTTTGTCTGGTTTTGTACACTCGTTATTTATGGTAGTGTGATGGGAAACAATTCAGACTATTGGTTGCTTTGTTTAGTGTTAATCTTCCACCCATTCAAATTTCATGTCATTAGTAAAGCACTGGTTTTATTTGTTACAAGGTGGATGTTAATATGAGATTGTTTTCATTACATCTTCTCCCATTTAACAGATCAAAGCCATCATTGTCATCCTTTTCTGCATGAAAGGGTTAGCATTAGTTGCTTGCATTTTTGTAAAGTGTAAGTAGAATGTAGTTTGGTTCTTTTTAAAGAAAATAGCCATAATGTGACATTGTACAAGAATGTTCAATATATGCACAGTTACTTTTATTTATCAATTAATTCATGTAGGTCACAACACTTACACTTGAAGATTTGCCAGCTTGTAGTCTCTCAACGTTATCTGAGTGTTCAAATCTTCAGTTTTTGACTCTGAGGCGCTGTGGACTAGTTGCATTGGAAGGACTAAGTAGCTGCAAAGACCTGAAGTATATCAATGTGGAGGTACCAAGTGTGTTTGATTCTTTATAATAACCCAGGTAGAACTGCCAGTTCTTCTGCTTAGTTGGTTATACAGTTTTGTCCAGCTGTGAATATATAGCTTTTATTGCCTTAAGAGCATAGGAATATCAACAAAATACTCTCAAATGTTAACGAAGTTATACCAGCAGATTTGCATTGCATATAAAAATTTGCATTGTACTAAAGCAATATCCTGCAGAAGAATCAAACTATACTAAGAAAAGTGCATTATAGTATCAGTCTAGGATTAGCGTTAGTATGGCAGACTGATAGATCTTCATTATCTTAGATTTATGAGTGGGCAGATACTGCTCACCATAGCAGATGCTCAACTTAAGCAGGAATGGGTAGAAGGAAAAGTCCTTTGCAATACACACAGTGAATGTTAGTAAAATTATTCCCATATATGCTCAAGGAACAGTATAGTGGGTTACACTAGAGGTATAATGTCTAGGTACTTCTACTGCAGTGTCTCGCATGGCCTTGTAAATTTAATGACAAAGGAAAACTTTTTGCTCTGTGATGCATCTTAGTTCCTGAGCTTGATAATTTACAAGAAGCAGCTCTGTTCACATTTTTCATTTCATGTGCTTTAACAATACCAATTCAAAGGAAAGATAATATGCCCTTATTTCCATAAGGAGATGGGAGACATTGTTACTTGGGACATGGAGAAGGCTGAGGTATTTAACGAATTTTTTACCTCAGTCTTCACCAGAAAGTGCTCCAGCTGCACCACCCAAGTCATACAAGGCAAAGGGAAGGACTGGGAGAATGAAGAACTGCCCACTGTAGAAGATCAGGTTCAAGAATATCTAAAGAATCTGAAGGTGCCCAAGTTAATGGGACCTGATGAGATGCATCTGCAGGTCCTGAGGGAACTGGTGGATTAAGTGCCTAAGCCACTATGCATCATCATATTTGAGAAGTCGTGGCAGTCCATTGAAGACCCCACTGACTGGAAAATGGGAAACATAACTCCCAATTTCTAAAAGAGAAAAAAGACCCAAGCTGTGTGATGTGGTTGACATGCTGGTGGGAAGGATGCCAACCAGAGGGATCTTTACATGCTTGAGGTGGGCCCTTGTAAAGTTCATGAATTTCAAAAAGGCCAAGTGCAAGGTCGTGCACCTGGGTTGAGGCAATCCCAAGCATAAATAGTCTGGGTGGAGAAAGGGTTGAGGGTAACCCTGTGGAGAAAGACTTGAGGCTGTTGGTTGATGAGAAGCTCAACATGACCTGGCAGTAGGGCATGTTGAAATATCTGTATCTTTTTCTCAGTTTTCTTACCAGTTATCAGGATTTGATAGTTTTAGGTACCTCAAAATACAAGAGCAAAATATTAGTGTAAGGGCATAATATCTGTGTCTCCAGGCTTCCTGAGACTGGTATTTTTATGTGATTTTTTTTTTTTTTTTTTTTATCAAATATTGGCTGTCACAGAACAGTTTTGGGTTTGTGGTTTGTTTGGTTTTTTTGTGCTGGGTTGGGTTTCTTTTTATTATTGTTTATTTATTTTAAAATGTTATGCCTATAAAAATACACAGGGTTGCCTCACTATGATATATAAGGATAATTTAGTTAAGGAAAAGACTCTTAGATATATTTTAAGTAGGCTTTATTAATAATTTAGTAATTATACATGTTATTAGTGATAATATTTCATACTTTTGCTGTGCCAGCTAATGTGGCAGTTGTCTTCTATTCAGCATTAATTAAGAAACAGCCTCTTTTGTCACAGTCCAAGATTGGTTCATGGATATTTCTCACATAGCTAAAACAGCTGCCTCTGTTTCCCTTGGACATTCATTTCTACTTGATATTGCTCCTCATTTGTGTTGTTACAAAAGCTAACATTTGAGCCATATCAGTTCTCTCTTTTAACTTACTGATGCAACTGAAGAGGCTGTCCAAGGGCAGGAATAAGTGTTATGGCTTCCAAAGGAAACCTGTAAGAATTTCTGCCTGCAGCTGAAGGTAGTGCCTAAATCCAGTCAGTTTGTTAATTCTGAAATGGGAATTAGACACTTTGGTTTAATCAGTATGTTGCAAAGGCAAGGAATAAGGTGTGTTTGAGTATTTGCAGGTGAAAAACAGGAAAACAGCAATGGCAGCAAATAGTGAAATAAAAATTTGAGGAAGCATAATTAAAACGGTTTTGGGAAGGGGATGTTAAAAAAGCAAGATCTCTTGGGAGCAGAACTTTAGCTGAGAACAGTGTTAATGTTTGTGACCAAAATATCTCTAAATGCAGATTTTCACTCTTTGTTAATAGATTCCAGCAAAGTCACAGCTGTTTTTGTTATTGTCTAATAAATATGGTGGTTTCTATTCCGTTTCTAATTTAGTTTTCTAAAGGGATTTGGGAAACTGGGAAAGCATAAATAGAAAGACTACTCTATCCTTAACTTCTCCTTACACTTTTTTGTACAACTTCTGGGCATTTTCAGAGCCAGAATGAAGTTTGAAATATATATTTGTTCTATTCCAGCAGGACACTAAAGACAGCTTCTGTGACTCATCAATTTATTTTCTTAATGGGAAAAATAGAGATGCCCTTACTCCTAGCTAGAAGTTTAGGATAAAAATAAGCTATGATGACCTTCTGTCATATTTTTAGACTTAATTCTGACATTTCACTTCAGATACTTTTTAAGATTCTCATTTTGCTTTATTGCAGGAAAACAACATTCAGATAATTGACTGTGAAAATCTAGAAAATCTTAGTATTCTTATTCTGAGTAAGAACCGACTTTCATCAGTTTGTGGCTTAGATGACTGCATAAATCTTCAAAATCTTGAACTTTCCTACAACAGAATCACTCGGATTGGTAAGAAAATTAATGAAAAGTTATTCCAAATTGTATGACAATGCTTATGCTCTTTATATTCAGTTATACTTCACTTGGATTCAGGGCCAGCTAGCTGCTAAAAGAGGATGACAAAAGAGGCTTAGAACAGACTTGCGCTTTAAAGCATACTCAACTTCACATTTGTAGTATGGCGTAGCTACTGCCGTGTGTTACTTCTACCAGGTTGTGTCACTATTGTCAGTCAAAGAGAACTAGAAGTCTTTCTCCAAAGGCACCTAAGATTACCTGCGTTAGCTCAGTTGGAATAAGTGAGTAGCCTGAGTTCAGTTTATCTACAGAAACAATATAAAGCCTAGACTTGCAACTGCAAAGAATTACAGTGTGTTTTTTACTGACACAGTAAGTAGTTGTATAGAAACCATATTATCTGGTTATTATTATTTCACTCTGCCTTTTCATTACTACTCGTTGCCCCAAAGCTGGAAAAAAAGATGAGTTTAAAGTAGAATCATACCAACCATTTAGGCACAGCAGGTGTGCCAATCCATATTGTTTCTACAAAGGTAGTTATATTTGTCAGAACCAACACTTGGCAGGTAACAGGTGTACCTTTAGCAGTCAACCAGTTAGAATTTATATATACCCAGACCACACAACCAATGCATCAATACTTGAAATCTTTCTGCCAAGAGATAGATGTTTTCTCTTGCCCAGCAGGGAATTTTTCATTGCCTCTCTGCTTGTACTGCTACTTGGGCTATAAAGTGCCTAACGTGCAAATAGTGTGTCTCAGCTTCTGGCAAGTTGTTTGCTGTTTTTTTTTTATTGCAGTGAATTTTGTGTTATGTAAATTTCATATAAATGTAAACAATATCCAGAACCTTTTCTACTGACAAATGTTCAGGAAAGTGTAGCATGGTGGAAAATAACAGAGAGCTTTGCTGTATGTAAGTGGTGAAGACAGTTTTTTGATTTTAAAATTATGTATGTCCATGCTAAATCTAAAGAGGTTACTGGGAAAGACTGCAGAACTGGGAATGGAAAGGATATAAGGAGATTCTGATTTTGATCAACATGACCCAGCAATGTGAACTTGCAGGCCAGAAAGCCAACTGTATCCTAGGCTGCATCAAAAGGAGCATGATTAGGAAGTCAAGGGACGTGATTCTTCCCATCTACTCTACTTCTGTGAGACGCCACCTGGAGTACTGCATTCAGCTCCAGGGCTACCAATGTAACAACAATATGGACCTGCTCAAGTGAGTCCAGAGGAGGGCCACAAATACGACCAAAGGACTGAAGCACCTCCCCTGTGAAGATGGGGTGAAAGAATTGGGCTTGTCAAGGCTGGGGAAGAGAAGGCTCCAGGGAGGCCTTTTAACAGTCTTCCAGTACAAGAAAGCTAGAGAGGGACTTTATGCAAGAGCATGTATTGATAGGATAAGGGGCAGTGGCTTTAAAGTGAAAGAAGGTAGCTTTAAATTTGATATTAGGAAGAAGTTCTTCACTGTGAGGGTGTTGAGGCACTGGAATAGGCTTCTCCAAGAAGTTGTGGCTGCTCCATCTCTGAAATTGTTGAAGGTCAGACTGCATGGGGCTTTGAGAAACCTGGTAGAGTGGAAGGAAGATGTCCCTGCCCCTGTCAAAGAGGATTGGAACTAGGTGGTCTTTAAGGTCCCTTCCAACTCCAACCATTCTATGATTCTGTGATATTTTCTTTTTTTTCTAATTGATTTAATTTTCTTTAAAGTACATGGACATACTTTATTTTCCTGCAGCCCAGCAGGAAAATAATATAAAACAGTTATTAAGCTGATAAATGAAACACTTTCACATAAGACATTTATATAATTAAATGGTTTACACTGTTAAAAAAAAAACACACCAAAACCTGAAACAGTGTGAGCATGGATAATGCAATTTCATGATAGACAGCAAGGGCATAGCAAACAGGAAATAGGAAAGCTAAAAAAACTGTCTAGATTTAGAGGTTTTAATGCTGATATTTTTAATATTTTTTGCTTATGTGTGCAAATTTGGAATGTTACTATTTATGAACTGAATTTATAATACGTGAGAATAAAGGTGCTGGAATGTCAGTGCTAACTGTAAAAGCATATCAGGACCCTAATAAGAAACAGTAGAATAAACTGGTTAAAGAGGTTTCACCTATATCCTTGTGGCCAGTAATGCTGCATAAGACATTTCTTCAGGTTTGTTTCATTTGATAGATCTGTTTGAAAGATTACTGTAGGAATGATATAGTATTAGTAGATGACATAGAGGAATATGGCATCTGTGTGGAATGTAGTATGTGGAATGTACAGGCCAAGTGGAGTGCAATCCTCTCATACATTTCTGTTTTGTTGAGTGTGCTGCTATATTTACTGAGTCTCTAATAGTATAAGTGAATAAATGTTTACAAAAATCAGCTTGGAATCCATATTTTTCCTCTCCAGAATTGCTTTGAGGATGCCTGGTTAAAACATCCTCATTATAAAACATAGTACAAGATTTGTTTCATACAGTAACATATTGGTTGTAAGTAGTCACATAGAATACACAAAAATGGATTTATGGATTTTAAGAAGTTAATGTATCCTTCTCATCCAATCTTGGGAGATGTCCCTTAGCATTTTGGAAGCTGCAGTACTGCTTTTTCACAAAAAACTGTGGACTTTTTCCTAAGACGTAAGGCTTATTTATGCTTGCGGTGCTTCTCTTTCAATACATATTGTAGGAAACTTCAAGCATACTAAGATTTTTTTTTTTCTCTCATTGAAATACAGCATCAGTAGGGGAAAAACTAGTTGCCAGAAAAGCCTTAAAAATAACAGTAAAAGTATGAGAAATCTCTCAATTATGCTTTTCCATTTCAGAATGCAATAATTGTGTCTGTAACACACTGAAGTTCAATGTGTATGTTTGTACTTGGAAAATGAATGCCTTACTTTCTTACACAAAAAGTAGTATTTTGACTTGAGTCATAGAATACGCTTTTGTAGGGTGCCTGTGTGGTCAAAGTATGTTGGTTAAAATTCTGGCAATGCTCAGAATAGCAATGCATAACCGTGGATATTTGTAAATGCTTCTTTGGACCTACTCTTTTTAAGAAAGCAGGGTTTTTTTAACCAGACACCTTTCAGATTTGTTTTATTTGTTTTGTTTGGTTTTAGTTTTTTTTCTGCATGTGTGTTTTTATCTTCATGTTCACTGTCAGCTTTCACTCCTCTCTTATCATTTATCTTTGTCACATGCAGATGTTGTTTCAGAACTGCATCGATAGCTAAGATAGAGTCTCTAGCTAACAGACTCCAGCTGCGCTTTCAAATTGCTAAGAGCTACTTCTGTAAAGGTTTTGCACAAATTTTGCTGAAACCATATGTTTTTCAACAGAATGCATTTTCCCATATACTGATGTATTGGTTGCATCATATGTAAAACAGAAATATCTTCTGGAAATATGCAGAAGACTTTCATGCTTATTTTTAATTTTGCATGTGTGCAGAAGAAACATTAAAATGCCATCTGTTTATATTGCATTATTCTCTCTTGTGTATGTTTCTGATGGACTGCATTTGATAGTTCCAGAATAGATTATGATCCTATTGTATGTAGCCTCAGCATGTCTGTTCTGGATGACATTTGGTCTAATTAAATGAGACAGATGAGGAGGATATGTAAAAAAGTGCTTTCTACAGCATGCAGAATAGATTTCCAGATCGTGTATTAACTCATTGCCTTTTCTTACTGTGTGTTCAGTCTGTTCTCTCTGTCCTGCCCAAGACCAATTCAGTGCTTTTAAAGTTTTTCAGTACTGCTGTGTTCATAACTCAACAATGGAGTTTTAACGACTGCCCCTGTAAGGAAGTCTTGGGCGCTGACACTGAAACGAAATTGTTATTGAGACCGCTAGATGGTGCTGGTTCCTTTTTATTTTTATCCTAGAGTAAAAAAATATGGACCAGTATCTTGCAGTGAGGATAGTATGTCATGGGCATGTTTGAAATTCTTTCAGAATAATTAAATATTTGTGTATTTATTTCATAAAGCATAGTTTTGAAGTTACAGTATAAGACATTTGGTTTAGATTTAGGATTATATCTCTTCAATATCAGGTGACTATGTTATTTCTATTAGGTGTTTCCCGTTTTTAAATTACTGTGATTCAAAGGCCTATATTTGTTTGGGTATTTCTAAACATACTAGTCTTCACATTTTATTCTTTACCGTTGTTTTCTCCTTATCATTCATTTTCTCTTTTGGTTCTTCTTCTGTATTCTCAATAACCTGTGGTGTGAGCTGGTCTCTGGTCTCATAATCAAGTTTGTTCTCAGAGGACAATCACAAAGACATTCACTTCTGTAAAGCTCATCCGACTTACTTTTAGGGACTTAGGAAGTCTTGAGTGAGATAAAAATGTGATAAAGTATTATTTAATATAATAAGTATATAAAAAGTATATAAATAATCCTGTAAAGAAATAAAAGTAAATTCAGAATTCCTTATTTTAGATATGTTTTGTAAAAGTTGTCCCTTCAGAGGAGTTTTACTACAGATACACAGAAAAACTACTTGGACTTATAGCAAGCCGAATGCATCAGTGTCATTGCAGAACATCTAGCATGTGTAACACCATGGAAAGACAGTGTGATTTTGCCATTTTAAGAAGATGATTCAGGAAAAATTCTGTGGAAGAAACAGACAGTGACAGGAGCCTTTTCCTTTATAACTTTTTAGGGTAGAGATTGCACACATTCTTGCTCTGTGCCTGGCAGGAATAAGTTTGTTGAGAGTGTAATGGCTATAGAAGTATACGCTTATATGTAAAGGCACCTAACTTTTTTTATTAACTTCTTCATTAAAAGTGTTTTATGACATAATTCCTTAAACAAGATGCACTTTAATAAAGATGGTGCTGTCTTAAGTTTTAACAATTTGTTCTCACCTTGCTGATAGCTTGAAAAAAAAAAACACTTTTAAAAATTAAATAATGAAAATTAAATTTTAAACATAAAAACTGTTTCCATTGTGAGGGGTGATTTTAAGAGGGCTGTTAGCATTTCAGAGAACCCATAGGTTATAAGTAGCAGTTATAAAGTGTTCAAAGCATTTTAAGTATAGTTTATCACGATAAGAATGCTGTGTTTTAACAGAAGTGCTAAAGGGGTTATGAACTGGTTTTATTGCTTGGTTAACAGGTTCAGAAATTTTTGAAATATACATGTTGTATATTTGATCAGGTCAAAATACATAAATTATTTTTAAACCTTATATAGGATTAATTAATTAATTAATTAATTCATATTAATTGTTACTATAGGTAATATAAATATATTGAAAGTTCAGAGTTTTCTTAGTACTTGAAAACCAACAGGTTTTTATTTCATCACGGTTTGATTTAGATAAAATCTTTAACTTTCAGGTGGTCTGGCATCACTGAAAAATCTTCAGCAATTAATTGTGGACCATAATCAGTTAATCAGCACAAAAGGTCTTTATGAGGCACCTACTCTCATTCACCTAGACTGCTCTTTCAATCACCTCACACAAGTTGAAGGCATTGAGAATTGTGGCCTACTTCAAATCCTGAAGTTGCAAGGCAATAACCTCCAGGAGGTAAAAGCTTTGGATTCAGTGGCTGTTTTGCATACACTTATGTTGACAGTCATGTTTTCCAGAATGCTGGTCATGTGCTCATTGCTTGCTGTAGGATGCTTTGTGCTCTTGGGTGGTTTTTTTTTTTCACTATTAGAGGGAGATTTTTCAAAGGTACAAATGGCTCATGATTAGTGACTTTTTGCTCTCAAGTCCTTGAAAAATTTGCGCTTCAGAAATTATATTTCTGCCCTCTGTTTATAGCATCCAGTCTTCAGTTTGTACTATTTGATGCTGACTCTCTGTTAAAAATGTAACTGAATATTGTTATCATTGCATATAACTAACAGTTCAGGCTGATTTGATATATGCTGATCCTCCAAAAGTTGAAATTTGTGCTGCAGCATTTCCATTTAAAAATAGAAAGTAGTTTGTTAGCTACACTTAGTCATATTTACAAACAGTGATTCTCTTATGAATCTGAGAGAGGAAAATCATTGTCAGTAAGCAGCAAATAAGTGCATGAACAAAATAATGTGCCTCTTGTTTTTTTGTTGGCCTTTTTTTTTTTTAATATTGACTTTTCAGACTAGGTAGAAGACATAAAAAATACCACCTGATATGCAGAAATCATGTGTGGTAACTGGTACATACGTAATAAGGAAATGATACATATATCAAAAATATGGGGTTTGCTTGTATTTAGCAATGATTTATGAAAAGCATCTGGTAAGCATTCCACTGTTGTTTCTCTAATTTATATTAATTTTAAATAACCATCTCTTTTCTGTTTAGTTTCCAAGACTGGAAAATCATGTTCTCCTTAGAGAACTATATTTGGATGACAATAGCTTTTCTTCTATGAGGATGCTTTCTTTGTATTGGTTGCCTCTATTGCGGATTCTTTTGCTGTCTCAAAATAGGTAAGCAAGTATCATTCTTCCACTTAGAGAACTGGCAGAGAGACATTTACTAAAATAACACTTCTCTGAAAAGTAAAATTCTCAGCGTGATTAAAATATCACTGTCTTTTCCAGATACTTGTTGAAAATATGTGGTTGACAAGTAATGACACTGGCTACCTTTAGCTAAGAAAATTTAAAACAGCATTAATTATTAAAAGTATTTTTCCTATAAGATGTGATATGAAAATAATTTTTGAGCATTGTGACATTATTAAAACCATGGTGTTTCTTTTTTTTGGGGGGGGGTGTTTTGTTTTTTCTTTTTTCTTTTCTTTAGCAATTGTTTCTAGAGTATGTCTGTCAAACTTCGTATTTCACAGCTAGCTTATTCAAAACAGACTTTGCAGGCTATGTTAAGTGTAACTGCTAGAGTTAAAAAGAACAGAAAATAATAATTTTTATTGTGCATGCATATGTTAATGTCCTCCAAAACAAGCATATTTGCTTTTATTTTTCACTGTTATGGTTCAGTTTGAAAGGTATAAAATAAAAAAGAAGAATCAAGACAATCATCATAAGACTAGATCATGCGCTCAAGTACTCTGTAATTAGCTTTCTGTTCATTTTCTAAGCTAATCTGTACATCTGTAAAGTTAGAATGACAAGATATTCAGAAGTCAAAATTTTGATTTCCCTACCCCCTTTTTCTCAATTTAAATTCTGCTAAAAAAATAAAGAACACATTATAATTTCCATGTTAGTAATAAAATTAATTTTATTAATATAAAACATTTTCCTATACTGTGACCATTTCGCTCTGAACAAGATTGATCTTAGCTAAACAAACAGAATATGCTTCGCTACACATAATATACACAATATACACTTTGAACTAATCACTTTACTCTCCTGTTAGTGAAGAGGAGATGCTTTTAGAGTGGGATTCATCTGCCATTTTTAGTCGTTTGCTTTGAGGCTAATCATATCCTACAAGTGCTTCTTCATCTTCACTGACTATTAACAGTCAAAATGACCAGCTCATATGTAGGTGTCTACAGTTGAACAAATTCATCTCATCCTATGTGACATTTAGTTCAGCAGTCAACTGTATCTGGGAGCCTATGGGGTCAAAGATTTGCAAGACTGAGTCTTGTTATTATAAGGCATTTCCTTCATGGAAAATGAATACTATTTGAGTGCATACAACCTATATTTTTTTATAACTTTTCAGATTGTTTTCATATCATCTCTAATGAAGTGGTATGCATGTAAGCTCTTAGATGTAAGTAACACCTAGCTATATTTACAGAGTCTAATCTTCAAGTTGGGCTTTTAGGTTTGTTATTTTTTTGTTTTGTTCTTTTATTAATTCTTCTATAGTTTGGAGACAATGCTTTATGCTTGTCATTAACAGGGGCATTACTTGTTAAGTGTTAGATTCTGAATCAAACAAATTGATTTAATTCCTGTTCTTCAGTTTATTTATTTTTTTTCCTTATCCTGATCAGCTTTTTTTGAAAAATGCAGTAATGTGGCTCTATCTTTGTGTAGTTTCTTCCTCTTCATGCCATTAGTTTTTTGTTAACATTAAGATGTAGCTATGATGTGTGTAATAAAAAGTGCAAAACTGCTTGAAGACCTTGTGCCTGCTAGGCAGATTAAAAACAGGAGCACAGTCTCAGGCATAGGTTGAATGCAGCCTCTGGATGTAGGTTGTGGTAGACTGCCTGCATATATATACCTTATGTCACTCTCCTATCCCATGATCTTACAGTTTTTAATGTTCCTTGTAGTGCTTATTATGTTTTTTCAATGGTCAAGCTGAAATGCAGTGAGCTGGACTGAGCTGGACTGGGAGAAAACACAATTTTTTGCAGCAGCAAATTGGATGTGCTGAAAATGAACACATACCTCCTCCCCAAGCAATTCTCTTTCTTTCCTTAATGTAGCTATAGTTTATCTCAAAACTTTGTGACAAACAGGACAAGATAGCCTTAAATGTGTATTAAAAGCCTTAAAATTCCTGGCGTTTCAGTAGCATGCTATGTTACACTCACTTTATGTGCACTTATAAGCAGCTCCATATGTGTGCTACAGCATAAGTAACTCGATGTTCTATAGGAACAGTGAATGTAATGGAGTAAGCTGTTGAAAGAAAAGCTGTTTCTTTACTTTTATCCTACAGCTAGTGCAATTTTGTGAATTTTTTTCAAGTGTGCACTGAGTGCCATTTCCTTTCTACGGGTTGCAGGAAGCCCATATAATGGTAATGCTGTGAATCTGTAGTCTTTCACAAAGTGAAGTACTGTGAAAAGTATTCTTACACTAATTTACAGGATGTTTTTATTCCTGAGTTGCTTTGCCTGCATCATAAACCAGAAATTGCCAAAGATAAAACTCAAAATAATAAATGCTTTAAACCTGGAATCTAGCAAAATGGAATTATAATAGAACAGGTAATGATGAACTCCTTCAAATATAAAAAATGGCAGCTATTTCACCACTTCACCACTATTATTTTAGTATGGCTTTCAAATACAAAGCATATACTTCATCAATATGCAGTTGACCAAAACCAATGATGAATACCCTCTTGACTTGGTTATTGCAGAATTGGGACTATGAATATCGATGGTCTATTTTATAACAGCTGGAGAGCACAATTATTAAGTTAGTTTAAAAAGAGAACATTTTCCTTTTTCTTCTTTTGTCAATAAAAATTTAGGAATAGGAAAGAAAAAGCTTTGCCCTGGGACTAAAATAAATACGCATTTAACGTGTATTTAGAGTTCACATGGTATTTATATTTACATGTAATTCCACTTCATTATGTAGCTTACTTGTTAATGTACTTTTCATTTAGAAGTTTTACAGTGAGGCACTAAATCAGTCTACTGTTCAGGTAGCCATTGCTTTTGGGGCCTTTTGGACAACATCAAAATAGAGAAATCTATCTGTCTTAAAATTTCTGTTTTAATATGGCAATAATATGGCAAAGTTCTTTTTTTGCTATTGCTTGTTTTTCATGAAAATAACCTAGCTGTGCTAGCAAAAATTTTAATATTTAAAAAAATAAAGTCATCTTGCAAAAATTCCTTTTTTGGGGTGAAGCTGACTTGGCTGGAATCAAATTCTTTATGAAAATGTTGCTCTCATGTTTTTGCAGGTAGATGCATACTATTCCTAAAATTCTTATAATAGAAATGCTAAAAAACTTGGCTTAATTCTGTTTTTGTGTGCATTGTTCTCCATGCTTCAATATACATGGTATCTATGTTTTTAACCTAATTTCTCAGACCATAGGAGTTGAACTCCCTGTCATTGCAAGCCACCATATTTTTAGAATTTCACCACTTTTACAGAGTTGCCATAATAAATTTAAATATCAGTGGATGTTGAAATAAGTTAGTCATGAAAAAGTTATATTTACAGGCAGTGGGTTTTTTTTCCCCATCCCGTCCTTACCAGTCTAGATTATTTTTGGTAACTTTCAGTATTCTTTGCTGATGATAAGTTTAGCTCTAAGTATATGTCAATACAGTTGAAGTAAGTGCCTACTAGAATATTCAAGAAACAGGTGGCTGACAGATTTCCTATATTCTATTTGATTACTACTTATAAATATGGCAAATATTGTAAATTAAAAGATTCCTATTTTTAAAGAATGAGACAGAAATGTGGGCTTTACTTAAAATTGAGATTAGTATAAATTTATTTTTAATTATTTAGACCTTCTTCCTGCTAACTTCTCATTATCTAGATGATAATTTTGCTGGGAAATACGGTGTACAGCAGGATTTCGACCATCCTGAGCAGTAACTGCTGTTCACATTCAGAAAAGCAATCTTTATTTTGTTTGATGCATACATTCAACTAGTCTGTTAAATCTTGTTTTTTAAACTAGAATTTCTCTGGCTATCTGTGTCTTGTCCTGCTACAGACTTAAATGGGAGCAGAAAGAGGAAACTATAGTTTGCTTTTTTGTGAATATCTTTTTCTTTCGTGTCTTCTTTGTAATTTATCTCTCTCTTATGCCCAGGGCTAATGTGACAAGGTCAAGTAGTATTAAGTTTTCAGTAATGTCCTTTGTCTTTCTGGTTTGAATTTTCTTAGGAAAAAAATTAACAAAGAACATCAGCAAAAGGAAAGCTATAGAATGACGGGGAAACGTTTTAACTCTCATAGTGCCAATGGCAGGCAAGGATAGTCCAGTAGACATTTTCTAATTCACCATAGCATATACTGATAAAGATGTAGAGAACTCAATCACTGTAAATGAAAAAATGCTGCATTATCTTTCATCCTTTGTGCAAAATATGACATCCATTTTCCTGGGTATTTCTGAATATGTCTCTATAATCTGAATCATGGATTTTCAGTCTTAGCAGCCATACTGTTAGCCATTAATATCTATGATGGTACTTGTTACAAATATCAAACATACTTATGTACTATTGACTGGTCATGAGAATCTAAAATACTGATATTAGCTGTACTACATACAGTTCTACATAAAGCTACATGCTTTTTTAGAGTTAATACTTCTTCATATTTATTTGATTCCATGGAAAACTGGCAGGAGGTAGTAGAATTTAATAGGACTAGAAGCAGAACAACTTTACAGTATGGTTTGAGAAACAAATGGAAGTATACTGAGGCATAATCAATTGCTTTAAATGTTTCTCTGCATTTAGTACTAAAATGTTGTTTTATAGAAATACTCATCAACTGAATGTGGAATATTTTCTTTTTTTATTTTTTGCGTAAAGTCAAATGTCCATCAAGATTAAAGAATCTACAACCAACATTTAGTCCCAAACTTGTGTACCAGAGTTAAATCCAGCTCTGTCTTTAAGTTGTAGTGCCTGTGCTGAAATACAACATAGCCACACATTTCAGCAACAAATAAGTATTTTTGACTCTGACCACTTGTATGTTTGTGGAGAAAATGGGTTTTCCTTTTTTGCATGTTTAAGTTTCAGACCATAACAATTCTGATTTATAGCTCTCAGAAGCACTATAACCCTCAGAAAATACCATTTTTAATGAAAATGTGTGTCACAAAATAGACACACACATTGCTATTGGTGTTACCTTTCTCTTATTATGCTCTGGCCTTGTCTTTACAAGGCTGAAAGATGTTACCTAATTGTGTATTTTTTTTTAAAAAGATAGTTAATATAATACTTGCTTATATATAAACATTCTAGTTTTAGTTGAAGACTGGTTTATTTTGCATCTTGATTTTAATTTTTCCTCCCTTTTTCATATTTAACATAAATCAAAATAAATGTTTAAATCTGAAAGGTAATATTTGCAAATAGCCTGGCAGTTGACCAACCCTTTCAACATTCCTTATTGGACGAGGCGTTGGGTGATATGGTTTAGAGCGAGGTGTCCCTGCCCATGGCAGGGGGGTTGAAACTTGATGATCTTAAGGTCCTTTCCAACCCTAACTATTCTATGATTCTATGATTCTGAGTAAGTAAAAAAAACTTGTTTTAATAGCAGTGATAGTAGACACCTTACAGTCCAAAATCCTTTATACAGATGAATATCAGCTCACTTTCCTTATGTTTACCTTTCAATAAAGATTTTGAAGACAAGTAAAAATTTTGTCATGGCTTTACTCAGGCTTTGCTGCTTTGTTGCACAAGAAAAGCAGTTTCATAACTGTCTGTATAATAGGCATCTATTTGACACTGTCTGACAGTAGTAGGAAGACAGAGAAAGCACGAAATACATTACAGAACAGTACAGTCATGACTTTTAATACAACTGTGACAACGATTCAGTTAGGTTTAGGATCTAGGCAGTAATGATGAGTGGAGAAGAGAAACAAGGTGACAAGAAGTTTGAGCAATGGGACATGTAGGAAGAGGAAAGAGAAAAGCAGATTTTATTTCCTCTCCAGACTCACGGCCTTGTGTTAGTTTCATTGTAGTTATGGTGCCTAAAGAAGCCAGTTGAGTTGTCTAAATTTTACAAGACTTCAGATCAGCACTAAATGCATGAAACAGAATACAATGTTTACCAACTAAACAAAACCAATAATGAGCAAATATTAAAAACAGAGCTAATGAGAAGACTAAGAAATGCTTTCAAGTTAAAATTTCAGTAATTAGTTTTAGCACCTTGGATAGCTAAATGGGTATTTTTCTATGTAAATAAGCAAATTGTCATGACTATAAAACATTCTGGTTGCCTTCTGTTTATGAATGGATGTTTTATTTAATTGAAAACCCAAAACCTTTCTGTTTTGTTCTTAGATTAACTGAGCTTGTGCCTTTGAATTCATTTTTATCTTTGGAAAAGCTGGATATCAAAAATAACTGCTTGTCAGGTGAGTTGTGTAAAAAATACCCGTAAACCCCCATCCAAGCAAAACTTGTCCCTATTTGAGACATTTATACAGAAAACATATGTATTTTCCATACATGGATGTTACAGAAAATAATTATAACTATACTATATAGGAAGAGGAATTGCTTGTAATACTTCCTGATTTTGGTACAGTTGACTTTCATGTAAGATTTAAATGGTTCTGCATTCAAATTTTAATTTCATTTTCTTTCCTACTACAATACAGACCTTGAAGGTGTCATTTCATGGTTAAGTGGCTGTCAAAAGCTAAAGCAGTTGTCACTCAGCGGAAATCCTCTTCTTCAAGAAAGAAATTGGAGGTAAAAAATTGATTTGCTAAATCAAAAAAATCAAAATCAGCCAAAACCTAGGTGTATATACGTATTGCTTATCAACCAAAATCAGCCAAAAACTTAGTGTACATGTGTTAAACACTAGAAATGAGGAAATATGAACACTATGACAAATTTGAAGAGAGTGATATGAAAACAACAAAGAAAATTCAATTCTGTGATCTTTATTTTCTAAGAATTTCAGTTTGTGGTTTTGCTTAAACAAAAATCCTGATGTTTGACCTAACACTTGGAACCTTATTAATAAACAGCTTGTGCTAAAACTCGACAGTTGTCTCTCTATTCTGTTTAACTGTTATTCTGAATGTGTATTTGTAACTGCTTCTTTGTCCATTGATCACAGTATCTTCCTTTTAGGCAAGAATTTTTCCCCTTTACTGACAAGTTTATCACCTTTGGTAATTTCAACTTTCTGGCTGGTGTTTTGTCTGACTTTATTACACTGTTTTACATTTCATTAAAACTTCTGCACAAAGACATGACTATCCACTCAACCTTTTTCTTCTTCTCTTTTATCTGCACTATTTAAAAACTTTATCTTGATTATGAATGGTCTTGTACTGCTTACTTGCCCTTCTTATAACCATCAGCTTCTGATTATCACAAAGCTTCATGGAGTATTTATTTTTCTGCTTTACTCTCTTTTTTTTTTTTTTTTTTCATTTATTCCTTTCCATCACTTCATCCATTCACTGCTTAACAGTCTTGCTGCTTTGACGGGTTCAAATTACACATAGCTAGAGAAAGGATGGTGTGAATAATAAATGTATCAATGAAACCTTGGCTTAACATCTTTTAAGGAAAAAAAGTTAGAAGAAAAAAAGGTCGGAATGAATTGTGTTTTCCTTAGTAGTTGAAGCTTAGATTGTGTTTTTTTCTTTTTCTGAGATTCTTTTTTATCTTTACACAAAAAATTAATAGTTCATATGATTATGAGACAGGTGTAAAAATAATGCTGTTCGTTGCCTTCCGGTAATGTGTAATACTTAAAGAATAATCTGGGGGAAAAAAAAAAGGCTGATCCTAGAGACCAGCCATATATACAAATATATACACATACACAGTTGGACTTGGTGATCTTAAAGATTTTTTCCAACCCAGTTAATTCTGTGATTCTCTATGTGAATATATAAAAACTGGATAGGGTAGAAAGGAAACTTGACATATGAAATGAGATGCAGTCACCAAAATCCCTGAAATGAGCAGTTGTGATAGCATTGTATTTGTAATTAATTGTAATGAATAAAATTGTACATGGATAGTTCTTTTTGATTTTTGGGGGGGATTTGTTGTTAGGTTGTTTGTTTTTTTCTCATTTTGTTTTGTTTTGTTTATTTTAGTAGAGGTCTCCTTGTTTCTTGAAAATTCTGTGGTCTGAAACCCCATACATGGCCCAGTGTCATCAAGACTTAAAGCTGTCTGAGAAAATTGCTCAGCAAAAGCACAGTAGTGCTGTTATTTTAATATGAAATGTTCTTTCACTTTCCTTAGAATTAGCCCTTTCTAATTTACAAGCCTTAAAGAGCAGAGCGACAAGCTAGAAATACAATTTTAGATATTTTTAGGTGATTTTCCAGAATATATGTATTGAAATGGTAGTGTCTTTTTATGAACTCATAATTCCCTTTAATGTGCAAAGAAGCATTTAATCATTAAAAATTTAAATCATTACCAATTATTTCAGTTAAGGAAATCTAGTATTTACCTAGGAAAGTGTTGACATAGTAAAATTTGAGGACATGTAATGAGACACGACAGTTAGACTTCCATTAAAACAGGTGACTGCAATTTTTTTTTATTAGAAAAATGTGATTATTTTTTTTTAAGCTTAGCAGTTTTGAAGAATGACCAAAGTTATTCTTTGTGTGATTGCAAGTCAGTTAAAGGTGAGGCTTTACATTGCAATGTTACACAAGAATGTGTTTAGATAAATTGTAATCAAATTTGCTATAGTAGGTTGCATATTTTAACAACAGCAAATTTTGGGGTATGTGTATTTTGATACATGTCTTGTAAGAGGAAAAAAAAACCAAACAAAAATAAAACCACTCTTAGATGTATTATCTTACATTATAAGATTTTTGCACAAATTTCTGATTAGTATTCTGGTGGGGAAAAAAAAAATCCTCTTTGAAATGTTTAGTTGGAAATGAGTCTTTTAAGAGATAGCTGTACAAATACATTCTTGGTGGTTGGTTTTTTTTAAATGAACAGACTTCTTTGCACTCCTGTGGTGCCTGCAGGTAATTTTGTGAATACAATTCTGTGACTGTGACAATATTTTAAATTCCTATGTGCATTGTTTTAATTCCCACTATTTTAAAGAATTAGCTATTATTTCACTAGTAACCTTGAGGGGAAAAGTTTTCAGAATTCCAATTTAACTGCAAGAACTGACACTTTAGATTGCTTGACCCAATAGAGCTTTTATGATTAGACAAGAGATTCATTTGTCTAAAGGATTTAAAGTATGGGATACTATAAAATATGGATTTGCTGAATACAGCATTGACCATAACTTCAGGCTATATGTTCTAGTGAACTTTACATAACCCCTTGATACCAACAAAGGAATTAATTGTAAAATTTCCCAATTGGTTTTGTACTTTCATGTCCAGCCAGTGATAACACCAACAAAAGTGAAGTAGTAAGAAACTGCTTTTTAGAAATTAAACCCTGGGATCAGTCTGAGCACTCCTAGGGGAATGTGTTTCAATGCTGTAATGATTAATAGAGCCTCTTAAGTGACAGAATATTCACCAGGAAGTTTTCACTAAATGAAATATTGACTCAGCCCTTCACCAGGAGAAACCCAGCTGGAAAAACTAGTGTTGAGATCCCATAGCTCTAAGACACAATACTTCCAGCATCAATCAACTTTGATATGGCACTTTTGTGTGTATCACTATTCAGTATCAGCTTTGGCAGTTTCTCTCTATTTGTTCAAGGACAGTCTATCTAAACCCGTCGTTTTATTCCAAAGGTATTTCAGACAGTATTAATCCTACATTAATTGACAGCAGAGAAGGAAAGTTTTATATTTTCAAAAAACTAATATTCTATTGAGCAACATTTTTGAATATTCAAACTCAGTCACAGAAACTGATTTTAAACTTAGTGTATATTGTCTAAGCTGAGTAATAGTCCTTGACCTTCACAGCAAATAATCAGGTAGTTCTAAAATTTTTGAAATTGCATTATTTTTTTGATAGTAAGGGGACTTAAAGCCTACAGTAAGTACTCTTTCAAGTATTACTAAGTACTAACAATAAAAATGTAAAGTATTGATGGATTGCTTTAAACAGTTTTGAAATCTTGAAACTGTTGACAAATTTGGTCTGGTGTAAGAAATAGACTAGCTAATATTTCACAATAACCTAAAAGATTGGGCATAGATTATACTTTTTTGTTTTTAATTGATAGACAAGTATCTCATACATATTTTTATCTTACATCAGTGGCCCCAACTGTCCTTTTCATAGCGAGGAAACGTCATCTTTACTGTCATCCCTGACATCCCATTCACTGCCCCAAATTCAGTATTTCAGACCTGTAAATTTTTTTCCTGTCAGTCATACTGAATATCATATTGCTTTATGCGAATGCTTTATATGCAATTATATTATATTTATATCCTTTATATACAATTTATATCATATTTATGTTATTATATGCAATTTTTATAATATTGCTTTATATGCAAATGTTAAAGGGAATAAGACTGACAATATTTAGTATTCTGTGAAGTTTTTATATCTAAACCTTTCAATGGTCGACAAAATCAGTGCTGTATCTTAATCCTATGGCTTTGCTTGCTGTGTTAGCTACTAATCAAATGTTACAGGTGCCTATGCACAAGTGTGTCAAATTTTCCTCTTACTGTTGAAGTAGGCAAAATGCTAGCTCTAGTGAATTGAGAATGTTGCCACTGACCTCTCTGGAGTCAGTATTTCAGCAGTGCTCATTATATTAACAAAGTATTAAGAAGTCTTGTTAAGTTCTGTGATTTATTAAGAATAACATTTTTAGTTAATAGTATATGAAGTAATGACAAATATATATATGTACTTAGAGAACTGTCAATTTGTTCTGTTTTGTTATGATTGTATCAATAAAATGGGAGTTTTAGCAATAGATGCTTTTTGTACAAATGATTATAACTTTTTGTTTTCTAAGGCCTTCCTTTTGTAAGGTCCTTCCTAGTTTGCAGTTTCTTGATGGTGAATTCTTAAACTATAATACTTTGCCTACAACTGAAAGGATCAAAAAATCAGAATCAAGTACTTTTATGGAACTTTGTCAACTTCAAATTGAAGAAAATGTTCTACTGAAAAAAAAGGCTGCTGAACTGAGGTATGTATATGAATATAAATTACATTCAAAAATATGTTTTCATGTATTGTTAGTGTAGTTGGCATGTTACAAATTTTACTTATCTTTTTGCCTGGAAATGTTATGTTAAGAAAGAGATTAGAATCATCAACTCCAGTGCAAAGAGTATTTCAGACAGGCATTAAAATATTTAGGTTTGTTTGTTAATATGATTAACATAGTTAATATGATTAACATAGTTTGGATATTGGTGGGATATATGGTCTGCTTTTTCCTGCATTTGTTTCCTGTGTCTGTATTATTGACGTTCTAAATGACTGAAAAAGGTTTGACCTCTTTTCTCTTAAAGTAGCGAACCAGATGTCTCTCTTTCTACATCTTTGATTTTTGTCACATTTACTACCTTTACCATTATTACCATGATCAGTTGTTCGGTGACTTCAGCTTAGACATTGCAAGTGGTAATTTATCATTTATACCTACTATCTTTTCACCTCTTTACAATATCTAAGTAGCTCAAACTTCTGATGTTTGTACTCATCCTCCTTTGTGTTAAACTTTCTTATGTCTGAGATTTAGGACCTGTTTCATCAGTATTCTTTGTGGAAAAATTGCCAGTCTGTAATTAGGATGTGTCTTGTGAGAGAGCTGTAGTAAAATCTAAGGACCTAACTTTTCCATGCATGTCTGCAAGATTGTCAAAATGGGAGGGAATGATGATATTCACAAAATGTAATGGTTTATTAACCATAGTATGCATGAATGGACATCTACAAAGGTAAGAAATTTGTTGGATAGTCAGACCATCCATTAGCTATTAATAGTTAATGGAATGGCTCATGCTGCTTTATGGAAGCTGACATGTCCATCTGACATCTTTATCAAAGACGGGCAGGAGACAGAGTGCACGCTTAAATGTGCTTGCAGATGACAGCAGTTTGGAAGAAACAGTTTACATGCCTGAGGACAGGGCTATTGTTCAGAACCACCTAGGCAAGCTGGAGAGGTAAGCCAGCAGGATCCTTGTAAATTCAACATGGACAAATGCAAGGTTCTTTACCTTGAAAGGAGTGATTCTGTGGAACAGTACAGGCTGGGACTGACTGAGAAATGTCTCTGCTGAAAAGGATGTTTGGATCCGAGTAGATAAGAAACTGAATGTGAATCAGCAATGTGCCCTGGCACAAAGGAAAGTTAAGAACATCCTGGGTTGTATCTACAGAAGCATAGCCAGTAGGTTGAGGAAAGTTATTTCTTCAGCCCTTATTAACTCGCAGCTGGAATACTGTGCACCATATTTTGGGTCACCAGTACATAAAAGACATTGATAAATTGAAACAAGTTTGGTGCATTGTCCCTTGGATAAAGCTCTGAGCAACCTGGTCTGATCTCAGAGAAGCAGAAGGTTAGATCGGAGACCTCCTGAGGTGCCTTCAACTGAGAATTTTTCTGATTCAGTGTAAGTTTTGCTTGAAAGAGCTTTCAGATGTTTGAGAAGAACAATAGTCAGAAGAAAGAATTATGTAAATGTCTCTTCTTTCCTGAATGTATGGTTTGGGGGGGAGGCAGTGGAGTGAGGGAGAGTTGTGGGGTTTTTAAGGTTTTGAGAATTCATTCACAATCTTTTAAATTGGTAACTGTGGCATGGTTGAAGCATCTTGTATCAAATCTAGCCTTAAAGTTAATTTCTTATGTGTTAAAGCCCACTATGTTTTATTTTGATTAAAAGTATGATTTATGGATGATTTGAAAACCATTGAAAACTGCAGTTCATAAAAGGAATTCTAAACAACTTGTTTGCATATAAGCCTTCACAGCATAGCTATTATATGTACATACTGTGATACTTCAACTGAATTAATGTGACGTTGCTAAAGAACAGGCCAACAATAGAGCAAACTTCTCTGTTTCACATCTTGCTAAGTTATGAGCCCCTGTAGGTGTGACCTCAAATATGTAAGCTGCCAGAAGTAATCACTGCTTGCTTCCCTAATCCATGTTTCATAAACCACTGCTGGCCAGTTAAATTGTCTGTGCTGTTCCTGCCTGAAACTTCACTGTTCTGGCCATGCTTAAGAATGAAACATATTGTAAAATTAAACTTCTCTATTCTAATAAATGCTTTCTGTCACATAATCTTTAGATGTCTAGTAGTGAGTCATTATAGAAAAAAATTATACCTTAGCTGCAGTAATTTGTTTTCAGTCATCAAATATGCAGATGTCTGGCTAGTGGAACTTAATGTTTATAAATACTGTATGTATAATACAGTGAAAATGACAGGAATTTCATAAACGGTATTGCAGGGATAGAGTCTATAAACAGTGCCCTCTTTCATGTGTTTGCAAGGGACTTTTGTAACCCACAAGTGAACATCAGTGATGATGCTTATAGAAGTTTTGCCAAAGACAAGTTAGATTTTACCACACTATTACGAGCAAAAGCTCAGTTAAAATTGGAGTGTACTATTTATTAGAATCATGGAAATCACAGAAGAGCTGCAAAAGGAAAAACATGGCATGAAGCAAAATTTTAACGGGTACACAAACTAGTGCACAACAGAGTAGAATATTATTTATGATTTAGCTACTACAGTGGCCAAGAAAATACTGCCATTGCTGACTAAAACAGGCTTGTTTGTCCTCTATCCATTTTGCCTCTGAGAGTTTCGTTCTGCTGCTTTTCTATATAAATTTCATTGTCTTAGTCGGGCAAAACGATGCTCTTGGAATAAGCTGACAGCAAGTAGGAAATTCTATACAAAATGTGTCACTCTGTAAGCAAGCTTCCACAGTTACCTTAAAACTTTGTAAGTGGCAAAATTTTGGCTGATTTAAACTCCACAGGCAGGCCTTTAAGGAGGAATTACTTGTCCATTTACATATCTGTTAAGTCATCCTGTGCATGGCTCCTTACACTTTCTAGATGGTGTCAGTGGGGGTTTGCGCCTCCCCACCTTTACTTTTCCCTCCCCAAATACTGCATGTGAAGCTGAGCAGAATTTGGTCTATATTAATCAAGCCGACAGCGATGGACACTCTTGGTGAATTGATATTAGGATTGAAGTTGTAGCAGTCATTAATATATGCCTGCCTTGAATGTCCAGACAGATTATAATCTGACTGTAATGCTTTTATCTTTACTCAAAGTCCTTGCAAAATCCTAACCCAAGTTGAGAGGTATCTTTTTGGTAAGAAAGCTGCAGGTAACTTTCTGCTCTTAGCGTTTGTTTGCAAAAGTAATGTCTTGGTCTTTAGGTGTTATCAGGGCCACTATGCTACCACATTTGTGCATCGCTATGTCTTTTTTCACATCCCTTTGTCTTCTGACTTGTTAACCCTTTCCGCCACTACAAAAGCAGTGCATCTTTTGTGGCTGTGATGAAATTTGAACCACTGAACATGAGTGAATGTGCTGGTCAAAGCTGCAAGACCTAAAAATTTTGCTATAGCAGGACTGTATGGATACTGACACTTCTATCAGGATAATCTCATTTCTTGTTTTGTTAAGATGCCAGTTTATGCTTAAAACCTTGGTTGTAGCTTAACCAACAAGCAATTCCAGAAGAGTTATTGTGACCAGACCCCTTGACCTACTATGCCAAAAGAGGTCTGAAAGGCAAACAACCAATTAGCATTAACTGAAAAGGAAATGGTGTGGTATCAAAAGTCTCACTACTGTAGTATTTTTTACTTTGTCTTCTCTCTTTCCTTACATGTGAGGGTTGGTTGTTTTTTTTTTTTTCCCATTAAAGAAGTAAATCAGTCGTGCATATTTTCCATTATAGCAGCTTCCTATCTGTGGTTTGAATACAGTCTTCAGAAACCTCTCTCATATCAAGATTGCAGTCCTTCTGAGACACTGAGAAAGCTGCAGTGCATTGATAGGATAGCTCTATCCCAAGCCTATTGAACAGTTCTTTTTTTCTCCAGAACTGCTTGAAATCTCTGTTCACCTAAGGGAACCACCAAGCTGACTGCTACCTAGTGCTTGCATCCTATCTTAATATTTGTTGTCTGTGTTTTGGAGCTTCACTTTTGCAGGGGAATCCCAAGTGCAGTTACCAAGCCCCTTCATTGCTTATAGTTCTCCGAGATGTCACTGCAGCTTCCTTTGTAGTTTCTTGATGCTGAGGCTGATCTGACTGCCTTAAAAGAAAGCCACCGGTATATGGGGAGCAGCCTAAAAATTCTGCGAAATCAGAGTACAGTCGTGGATTGCCAGGGAATGTGTCAGCTGGGAAACAGGGTGCATGCCCACAGCAACAAGACTATTTTGCAGCTACTGCTTGGAAAAGCAACCTTTGTGAAAAAAAATAACACAGGATCCCCAGTGACCATACGGTTACTTCTCCCTGCCTGAATTTTCAATTGCTTTCAGCCTTCCCTTCCATTTCTGCTTCCCACATTGATAGTCCCTGGAAGGGTGAAACAGCTGCTTGGGATGGCCCTGCATCTGTCAAAGGAGGGGATGTGCAAATATCCTTTTCTGTTCACTGTTATGGTGTTTTTGGTTTTTTTTTTCTGTATTCTTGAGAATAAACAAATATAATCAGGATATGTTTTTCATACAGAAGTTTATTTAGCTCAATATATAATACATTCTTTTTTTTTTCATGTAATATTTTAATCCTCAAATAAACAAATGAAAACAAACCAAATAAAGAAAAGGTGGAAATTAATTATATTCTTTTTTCCTTTTTTTTTTTGCATTCTCACCATAGTATTTTTTGTAGAAATTTTGTAATGATGTACCAAATTTATATTTTGTAATACCTTAGCTAATTTAAAGCATTAAACTAATGCTTTACATATTTCATGTTGAAGAAATTACTGTTCTTACTGTGCAGTTGGAGACACCTAGAATTTATTAGATCCTTAAGTGAATGTATGCATTTGTTTAAATATTTTTTAAGAATTGTCGTATTTGTGAAATTAACAGGAATAGGAGTAATATTGTGTAATAGGTAATCAAATGTACAGCTAATGCACAGTGAGTTGTGTAATTAGGCTGTATTGATTTGGCTTCCAATTTAGTCATTCATATTTTGTCCAGTAGCACTGAAGTTGCCCTAGGAGAAGAAGGTGTGGAATGCTTTTTAGCCTTGTAAGATCTGATTCTATATGTTCTTAAAAATCTGAAAAATTATTAGTTGAACTTCACTAGAGGGAATAGTTGTATAGGTTAAAGAGTCTTTTCACAATAAAACCTTATAAAAGCTTCACCTTTCAAGAATGATGAACAGGAAAGCAAATTGTTATTCAGACTATAATCTTAGGACCTGATTTTTACAGATTCCTGATAATTGATCTTATTTCTATTTTTTTCTCTTGGATTTCTGACTTAGAATTGTCATTGTGTTCCTCTGAAAATAGTGCCAGATTAAGATCTCTGCATCTATCTTTATTATCAAAGGAAAAATTTTCATGATTCCAAAGGTACCTTCTACCTAATACAAGGGACAAACACTGTCCTAATGCAGCCTTATGAATCTGTAGCAATTTCTTCATATTTACTTTTATTCATTCTTGTCATTTAGATGGTTTAGCACAAAAAATTAATGAGGTAGACTTTGTAGATCAATGCTGCTTCAGTCTAATTCCTTCCTTTACACTGATAAAAATGTCTATACCAAGAAGATTTAAAAAAAAAAATAAAAATATTCTCTCTAGCATTGTGGTTTGTTGGTTTGAATCTAAGTTTGGGGTTTGTTGATGCAGTTCTAATCTAAAATGTAGAATTACTGTTATTTTTATATTAGCTGTCATAGTTTCCAGATAAAATTGGATTATTAAGGCTATTACAGCATGTGTAACAAAATTATCTCAAATCCTCTAAAATTTTCAGCTTCATATGCCTCTAGCCACATGTAAAATTAATAGTGAAATGCATGCCCTGGTGTCTGTTTCAAACAGACTGAAACCTTTAAAAAAAAAAAAAAAGAGTAAAATAAGCAATCTAATATATGAGTTTATTGTAAAAACTGCCAAAAAAAAAAAAAAGAAAATAGGATTTATAAATACTGAAAATGGTTTTCAATCACAGTAATTATTGTTCACTGTAAAGATATGGAAACATATAAGGATACTTTAAAATACAAGGTAGTTTAGAAAACAATAGAGGAAATATATATTTAAAAAATCATTCTTACATTTTGAAACATGTAAAGACATTTTTGTCTTTTTTTTTTTTTTTTTCCCCAGAATTGCCTCTTCTGTCAATTCTGCACAGGGACAATGCTGGTATTTCAATCAGTTGATGAAACTTAGCATTAAACATCGATATGCACATGAGTATGGTCAGCTAAACATTACTGGCAGAGGTGGACCAGAAGCACTGCAAAATCATCTAAAGCAAACATCTACTGGCTGCCTACAGGAAAATAACCTCTTTATCATGGGTGCGACAGAAAATAAACAGGTCTTGTTGGATCCTTCCAAAAGATGGATTGCTACTGGCCATACTCAGGCCACATTCATTAACTCCTCCATACCTGTGCACCAAAAGGAAAATAAAGAACATCAGAAAATGAGGCAGACGAGCACTGAATCTTGTATTAATTACAGTGGGGAGAGCAAAGGCAACAATAACATGTCAGCTGAACTCATGTTGCAACAGTCAGTGATAGTAGTAAGTAATGTGGGAAAAGATCTTCAGCATTTTGAGAATGATACAGAAAGGTAAGAAAGATGTCAGACTGCTTTCAAATAGATTAACTGGATAGGCAATAGGAGTGCAGATTTCTTCTTTAAAACAGAGGCACAGAACTTGTAGGAAGAAAACAATATTTTTACAATTATTAGACAGTGAAGAGTTATTTTAAGGAAGTGTACATTAGGATTCCATATTAACAATCTCTTGTGGTATTCTGTCACTTGTTATATTAGAATATATATATATATATATATGTACTTAAGATAATTTTAAAATACTGTCAACAAGAGAATTTGAAAACTTCCGCTGGATCTCCTACTTTTTTCTTCTTTTTTTGCGATAAATTTATGACACCAATTCAATTACATATACAATATTAGAGATGAAAATGATGGATGGTTTGTAGAAATGTTGGGTCAGTTTACAAAGTGTAAGGCTTTTTCGCTATACTGTTCATTAGATATTCAAGATTCGTTTGTGTAGAGTTTACTGACAGTATAGTTTAGAAGGCAAGAGGGAAAAGTTGCTTAGGTCTACCATCCTACTCCCTTGACCTTAGGCCAATCTCCTGCTGTTGTGATGACTGAAGAGCTAACAGCCTGCCCTGCCCTTGGTACTCCTCCAACATGCTTCAACCTGCTTCTTAAAGGCAGGGGTGAGAGGGCAGTTCAGCGTGTTCTGTGCCCCCAAATATTCTCCTGTATGAAACAGACTGGTTTATTATATCTTTGGAATGTGTTTGCTGCTGTTTAGTATGGTTCTGGATTTATGGCCAGGGAAAACGGAATCTGAAATTTTTTGCTCTAAATGTACAAAAGTTCAGTTATGGTTCCATAAGAACTCCATTTTGAAAATACATTTTGAGAATGCTAAGCATGAAAAGTATTCTTCTTGCTGTTTAGACTTACGGTAAATGGGCATTAGTGCTTAGTAGGTATTTAAGACAACAATGATTTGTCATAACATTTATTATTGAGGTAGACAATAGAATTCATCATTGCCTCTCAGGAAGCTGAAAGTAAGAGTACAATAGTAAAATGAGTAAGAATACAGTAGTCTATTGTGGAATATGTATGTTCCAGAAAAACCTTTTTGAAATAGTTCATTTAGAGTTTTTAGTTAATATTTTAAATGCATTCTGTTAGTTGTTGAACAGTTCTCTTCAATCATAGAGTCATAGAATGGTTAGGGTTAGAAAGGACCTTAAGATCGTCTAGTTCCAAATCCCCTGCCATAGGCCAGGATGCCTCACCATGTTGCTCAAGGCTCTGTCCAACCTGGGCTTGAACACTGTCAGTTATGCAGCATTTTCCACTTCTTTGGGCAACCTGTTCCAGTACCTCACTCTGCCCTCGCAGTAAAGAACTTCTTCCTTATATCTAACCTGAACTTCCCCTGTTTAAATTTGAACCTGTTACCCCTTATCCTATTGCTAGAGTCCCTGATGAAGAGCCCCTCTCTGGCATCCTTGTAGGCCCCTTTCACATCTTAGAAGGCTGCTATGAGGTCTTCATGCAGCCTTCAATGAAGGATGCAAACCACTGGGCAGTAGTTTTTTAACTCAGCTACTGCTTTATCATTCAAATATAAATATAGTAAGATATTTGTATGTAGTAAATAGAACAAATATAAATATCATGTAGTCAGTGCTTGTTAATCACTGAGCAAATTAGGAAATATAAGCAGTCATCAGTAGTGTTAAAGTGAAGAGTTTAAGTAGGCAAAAAATGAGATTGAACTTTCTTTTTTTTTCTGTTTACTCCATTGGAGATATTTGTCTCATGCAAGTTTTCAGCATTTAGCTCTCTTTAGTTTTTCGGCGTTTTTTTTCTGTTTGGGCAGTGAACATAAGTGGACGCCTCCAATAGTTTATTCAGTCATTGTTAAACCCCTCCATTTTAGGAGATTCTTCCTCTCCAGTGAATATACAGGGAACAGAGCCTAGTGGGAATTAGTCCACTTGGTTATTTGGATTTCCAAAGTTATGTGATGTGAATATCCTCCAGTGTTTCTGAACATACGTGTCACATGTGCATTATAATTTCTCAACAGTCTAATAGCAGTCAGTGCCTTCCATTTGTCTCAATGCATAGTACTGTGCTTTATGGTTGTTATTGACAGCTATGATAATGCAGTGTACTGGTGAGGCTATATCATTCATAAAAGTATTTATATCTCTGTAAGGCTACATATGGCAGCATCGGTGATCCAGTCTTTTTGGCGGCAGTACCATGACAGGAGGAAAACTGACCGCACAAAACCAGAGAATCATCAGTTTATAGAATCTTTGAGACAGAAGCATGAAGCTGCAACACTGATCCAGGTTGGGTTATGGTATTCTCTTTACTTTGCAAATTTCATAAGAGAAAAACCTTACTAGTTTTGTGTACTTATCATCTTCTATTTTTTTTAAGATTTTATTAGTGAAAGATGAATAGTTTCATAATTAAACATTTATTTTATCATCAGTTTAATGTTTCTAAAAGAGAGCCTTCTCTACAAAAAGTTTAATAGAAGCATAAAAATGTGTTCCCTTTTTCACTATTTCCCTGAATTAGTTTTGCTTGATTTAATTCTCATATTATGCTTAAGACATACTGTGCTCATGTTCTGGTTGGGTCATGTCTATGCTATTAAACTGACAGATGCTCCGTAACTGGTACGTCATTTATGATAGCCATACAACTAACTATTCTTCCCATCTCTTCTATTTTACTAACCCATCACTTTCCCTCTCTCCCCATCTTGAGAACCCAGGATTGCCCTATTCATAGTGACATTGGGAACAGACCATGGCATAGGCTGTCCTAGGGTAGATACTGAGCTAAGAGCAAACAGAATGGGTTACTATGTGCAAGAACTGAAGTCCATACCTTGACTCTGTTTAGTTTGCTAACCAGTTTACTTACCTGCAGAGTTGTCAGGGTTCATGGGGTTTTCTGCATTTTAAACAAACAGACCCTGTATTGATTCCAGATTTCAAGTTATCTTAAAAGCACTCTATATTGTAGGTCTTCTATAAAAATGTCAACAGTGCCAAAGTGATTTAGGTTTCTAAGTTCCATTTTCAAACTGAAAATCCAAGTAATTCATTAGTATCTGTGCAACAAATTGGCAGTAGCAAAATGTTTAGTAAATGTGCGTACTAAGAAACAGGACAAGTACAGAATTATACTGCAGCAGTCAGTTATCTGGGAAGTTGAGCTAAATTTTTTTTCTGGAATATAATGCTTAGCTAGTATATTAATTGATCTCCATAAACTTTATAAACTTTTAAACTTAGTTATATATTTGACTTCTATTGCACATTAAAGTGAAGTTTCATAAATTCATATAGTGATTAAAATGTCCTTCCTTTCATTTGTTTCAGACCTCAGAATTCCATGTTAGTATGAAAATAGCCTTTCACTATTTATCTTCTGTGTATTTTATGGGTTTTTTTAAATCTCTTTATAGCCATTGTTATGTTTGTTCATTTGTAAATAAAAGTTTAGTCCATTTATTCTCTTTATGTTACTCTGTACTTTTTATCTTTTTGTCTCTCTATGAACCTTTACCTCATTCTATTATAACCTTTTTTAAAGTGACTAGAACTGAATTCCATGGGAAGATATATCATGAATTTGTTCTGTAAGGCAGTTTTCATCTTCTTTCTTAAAAGCAAATTTATAATTTTTCTTTTTGATTGTGAATGACCACTGACCTATTGTTTTCATAGATCTTTGTTAACAGTTGCCTTACAGTTTATCCTTCTGCATACACCATTAGGATTCCTTTTTTCCTTTGCTTTTGTAAAAACTGATCGTATTTGTTGTATTAAATATATTTTTCATGTGATCACTTAGTAACATAAGAATATTTTATCAGGATAGTTATGAAAATCTGTAGGAAAATAAATAGGAACAAAGAAATTGTAAGAAAGCAATTCTAATACATTTAATCTTTTTTTTTATAATAGTCAGGAATTATGTGTCTAAAACCAGTATCATTTTCAATATCCTATGCAGTTAGACAATAGTTTCCTAAAAATTAATAAACTAATCATTAAGACAGAATATAAGATTTAACCTTCCTATTTTAGTGCCTTCATTGGAAAGCCATTAAATGTGGACTACACTGCTTCTTTCAGCAAAGTTAAAATTTTTTACATGGTGCTTTAAATGTTTAAGGCATCTTGAACTTCAGTGGTGTCAAACACTGATTTGGGGGAAAATTGCAGTCCTGTATTTAATTTTCTTAATTTCATCTATGTAATTTTGATCTCTGAAGTGTTTTGCTGGATCTGGTTCTAAAACTTGGCATGTGTTCCTCACACCCTTCCTCTTTTTCTATCAGTTAATTCCTAATGTGCTCCTTTTTCTTAGATATGATTATGCCTACTGGTAATATTTTTTTAAGTAAAGATCTTAGACAGTTAAGAAAGAGTAACTGACTTAGGTCAATTGCATGAAATGTCTTTAAGAATTGCTTCTTGTAAACTGTAAGACATTTAGTACAACTGTATTTTTATTCTCAGAAATTTGAAAGTTGACACTCAGCTTTTTGTTATGTATCCTTTCAGTTTATAATAGTCCCTGAAGGAATTGTCAAATAATTAATTAGTTGACCCAGGTTTGTAGTTGAGGGAGTTGCAGGATTCCTTTCTGCTTACTTGTGGAGAGCCTCTTGAGTACTCTAAGCTTTAGACATATGCTGGCATTTAATTTGTCTTGTAGTTTTAAATGTCACATAAAGTTCAAAAAACAGATCATTGAGCTATTAAACCAAGGCCCAAGATGTTTTATCTTCCTAATGGGATAACACAGAGAATCTGGATTTGGAGTTGATCTATGGCTTTGTATAACATGCTTTAAATTTTTTGTTTAGGCATTTTGGAAGGGTTTTCTTTTGCGAAAGAACCTGGCCAGTGCTCTTGCAGCTGTTAAAAGCAATGAAGTAGAGGATGACTATGAAGAAATAAATGTGGATGATTTCACGTTTTCTGAAGTAAGCACAATCATTAGCAGAAAAAAATTATGTAAAAAATAATCATTATTATTATTAAGCAATTGCGTAGGTGTTGGAAATAATAGACCATGAATGGACTACCAGAGTTAGAATTAATGTGTTGGATGTCCAGAAATAAAGAAGCATTTGTTATATATATAGCTCATTTAGATGTATTTGTCATGGATTAATTGCTTCCTGCTCTTCGAGATGCTCTGGTAGTTGCCTTGCTGTTAATGTCACACCCACCATTGAATCCCATAGATTTCTACACTTAAAGGACAATCATGTGAGAATAAGGAAACAGCTACTTTTGTTCTAAAACATTTAGCTTTTTAGTATTTTAGTAACAGATTATAATGTCAACAATATTTGAGTGTGTATTTTACTCATTTTCAGGATAGACTGAGGACAATAATATGTCTGAAAATATAGCTGAGTTTCAGTGTTGCAATATTCCAATAAAAAGAACACACCTCCAAAACCAGCGGTGAAGCAGGCTTCCTAGCTCTACTTTTGTCATATAGGTATAGTGCTAAAAAGACTGAATACAAGAGTAAATTACAAAGCAAAATATAGTTAAATTGGGAAAAAAAATCCTCACACTTAGAAGGTCTGTGATGCATAAAATCCAGAAATTATTTCTAGTAATTTTCACATATTATGGAGTTGTTCTTTTGGTTTCAAAAGATTTTAACTGGCTCAGAAGTTTCTATTCAAAAAATAAAAGCAGGCTTTAAAGGAATTTGAGGAGTAGCATCACGTTCAAAACTGAATTTATCAATAATTAAGTGAAAAAAAATGTCCACAGGATCAATATTTTCATTCTGTAAGCAATAAAAGAAACTTTAAACCAATTTTATCTTATATAGCCTCAAAAGGCATAGTATACAGGGGAAGTTTGAAACTCAGTAAGCATGGTAAGGCAGCTGTTGATGACTTACCTATGTATTTGTCTGGAGCACAGCTTTCTTTCATTGTTCGCATTTGTTGGCTGCCCTTTTTTTTTTTTTCTTTTTTTAATGGTTTCAGGTAAAGCAAAGAAAACTGATAACAATTTAGCCATTTGAGACCTAAGAGGATATGACTGAGGGTTTTTTTCATGAGCCCTTGTCTCTGAATGTGCTTATACAGCTGCAACATCTTTGCAAGAGCAATTTATCAATATTACACTGAAGTTTTGCAAATGAGATTGATATGATAGCCCTGCTACTGGCGGGATTAGATCTGTTTATGATCACATGTTTGGATGGGTCATAGAGAGTTATGAAATCAAATATGTTGTTAGTTGAAACAGTACAGTTGATCAGTCTTCAGTCATCTGAGTATCAGCCTTTTTTGCCACTTGTTGCAGTTTGTATGAAATTATTATCAATGACTTGATGACTTGGAGTAGTTTTATTTTTCTCTTCTACCTTTCAGCAGATATTTTAACACACTTTTCAGAATTACTGTCTTATTATAAGACCATGCAAAATGTTTGGGGCAGGAGTCCCAAGAATAATTTGGTAGACAGGAAATGTGTTTGTGTAAACATAGAGATCTGGGTTAAATTTTAGGATTTTTTTTATTTTATTTTAATTTGGAATATATATACAAAAAAAGAACAGTCTCATTAGTTGATGTTCTCTGATCCCTGGCTTCTTTCTAAAATAATAAAAAGCAGAAAGTTGAAGGATTTATTTCTTCACACAGGAAGGAAGTATCTGTTCGTATATTAAAGAAGGAAAATATCCTGGTTTGAATTATTCAGTCAGTAGGCCAGAGTCTTATATGCTGTAATTCAATTTAGTTGTTCTTGTTTTACTCTGTTTGGCCCAAATAATCCTGTGATGTGTCTTGATATTTTTTTTTGTTTTAATTACTAAACAGAAAACTACGTGGACAGTTTTATTTCATCTGTCTGTCAGGAAGGCAATCTCATTTGGTCAGGTGCTCCTGAGGCAGAGAGGCTTGCACTGTATCACCCTCTGGTTTTGCCACACAGCTCTTCCTGGTTTGATTTTTTGTTGAGGTTTGGGTTGTGTTTTTTTCCAAATTGATATTCAGTTTATAAGGAAAGAAATAAAAGATAGGTCTAAGGAGCAGTTCTCAGAGAAAGTGTTTAGGTTCAGATGGTGACAGGAGACCCACGAGTTGACATTTTAATTTGCACAGCTGGCTCAAATTCTGAACTAGGGACTAATGTCAAAAAAGTTACTTGAGCCCTTAGCTTCTTGTGATGAAAAATGTAAGAACATCTGTTTTCTACAGAGCAGTGTATGTGCTAAATTTACAATGTATATACTCATGAAAGATATACTTTGTTGATGGGTACAAACTGGATGTTGATGGGTACAAACCGGAACACAAGAGGTTCCACTTAAACTTGAGAAGAAACTTCTTCTCAGTGAGGGTGACAGAACACTGGAACAGGCTGCCCAGGGAGGTTGTGGAGTCTCCTTCTCTGGAGACATTCAAAACCTGCCTGGACACATTCCTGTGTAAACTTATTTAGGTGTTCCTGCTTCAGCAGGGGGATTGGACTAGATGATCTTTTGAGGTCCCTTCCAATCTCTAGCATGCTGTGATACTGTGCTACTGTGTTCAGTGAGTGAGCATTTCAGTGTTCCAGATTGATGTCTGTAACTAGACTTACACCCTGCAATATTTGTCTTAACTTTTTTTTTCCCAAGCATATATCTTGTCTGTACTAAAGAGTTTGTGGCTTAACTAAAATGGGCCTACACTCTGCTCTGTCTAGCCCAGACTAGCTATCCTCTGTACTATGTTGCTTGGTGTTGGATTGCCTGGTTCCATGCATCTTTAGCTGTTTCGTTCTCTGCAGCTGGGCAATAAGAAATCACATGGACTTTCTCCTGCAGAAATATGAAGCAGAAGCTTTGAACAGTCTATACTGCTTATTCCCTCCTTTCTCACCTCAGTGTTTCTTTCTGTCCTCAGTGTTTTTTTCTGTCCCCAGTGTTTCATAGCTGAAGCAAAGCCAAATAATGACACATTATATCAGTGCCTATCTGTTGTGTTTCAAACAAGTAGGTAGGGAGTAGTATATATTGCTGGATCTAAGAGATCCCATATGCTAGGGTGTGAACGAAGAGAAAAATATCCAGACACCATTTTGCACTGCAGAATTCAGTTTGGATAGGGTAAATGAAACGAGAGAAACTGACAGAAAAAACATTCTTTATTACAAACCAGTAGAAATGCACTAAACATTCTCCACAGTTCTTTGTAATAATCTGCTATTTTGTAATGTAGTCATTGTTTGGGTTTTTTTACCAGTGTTACATATATTTTAGTCATAATTATTTTATTCAGTATTTTTTAGTGTTCTCACAAAATCACAAGTGTGCAAGCACCCATCATTCAGCACCAGTCTTCATTAAATTACTATTTAATATATTAATTATAAACTCAGTGTACCCAGGGTTCTGTGGAAAGTGAGGCTGTGAAACACCATAGGGAAAACTCTAGTCCTTGCCAAAGTTCCTCTTTTTACTTCATTTATGCTCAATGAACAGTGGTATATTTTAGCAGAAGTTTGGCACCACATCATGTGAAAAATGAATTGCATGTGATTGACCCGGAGGAAAGGCCTTTATCTTGTTCACATTATCAGGATTAGTAATCTTTTTACCTGAACAATTACTGGTATCTTGTTGTATTCATATCAGCTCTCATACCTTGCCAAAGACATTCAGAAGCAATTGATGGCAGTAGTGTTTTATGTCTGTTGTATTGTGCAGTGTCAAACAGACTATCCCAGATGAGATGAAAGATCTGGCCAACATATGTCTCAGAAAGTATGAGTCTGGTATTTAGTGATATTTTCATGTCTTTCATGTGGACTTTGGAGAATTCCACCTTATATGCTCCAAAAGGCTGATCTTAAGGCAGCCTTTCATCAGCAGCCCATCCATGTAGCAAATGATCTACAAGGCAGAGCTCATTTCACCTCTGGTGGACAAAATCTGACAACATATTTACTTGGCACAGTTCTTACTTTCTGTACTGTGTAACCATCAGCATTGTTATTTTCGCAGTGTGAATATGGTAAAAGCCAAATACAAAATGGCTGAACTTGCCAGTGTGACAGAAAGCTGAATCAGTTAAATATGATCAGTTTTAAGACCATTTTTTACTCAGAACAATGACTACTGAATATTTTTTTTCATACACTGAGTCAGCATATGGACATATGTCTTATTCTCATCAACGTAAGTACCAGTAATGGTGGTTACATAGCACAGAATGTAAATACTGTTTTTCTCAAAACGTCATTTTTTGAATTTGGTTTTAAATCAGGGCTGTCTAGTCATACTTTTCAAAACAGAAATTAACTTTGTAAGTTGCAACCAAGCTAAAAAGAAAACTGTCACTGTTTTCTTCATCAAAGGGAACAAATTTGTTGCACTGAGACAAAGTGTTGTCCTGCTTCTGAGCTTTATTATGTAGAATTTTAAAATCTCAGTCTTTTTGAAATTATAGACTAGGAGTTTCCTTCACATTTCCATTTTACATATCCACACTCAGACACTTAGCTATTCCTTCTTTTTCTTTTTTTTTTTTTTTTTTTTTTTGCTTGCCTTCCATGGCAGATAAGTAGCTGTTCTCTGTGTTATTTTCTAGGGGTTCTTTTGTTTTCTTTTTTGGAGGGAGTGTAGGGGGGGGAGGAGAGAGAAGAAAAACTATGTTACATGTGCTAACTCTTGAAAAGTAAACACCAATTAGAACAACAATTTCTTTACACCTCATTTTAGTGTTCTTATCACATGTCAAAGCTAGACACATGCAATGTGTTTTGTTTTAATATAATCCTTCATAATGTGGTTTGTCTCAGGCTTTGAGCTTGTGATTGTGTCAGAGTCCAACTGAAGACTCAGCTTCTCATACCAATCTTTGAGACAATGGACAGCAGGGTCTGATTTCAGATCAGTCTTTTACAGACAGTTTTCTGTCTGTTTTCTGGCTAGTGCCAGGAAATAAGTGTAGCCTATGGA